GACAATAGTTGCTACTCTCGACCTCACGGAGGGATGACGATAGTACTATTCCACTAAGATCTCTGAGACGATGAAATATAAAAATTATAGTTTATTTAATAAATATTTTTTCTTGTTGATCTATTTTTATTTATATTATTTCTTGTTTAGACCAGTAAGTCGTTCTCGTTCCAAATCTGCTTCACCAAGTTATGGTAAACGAAATGGTGCTGGCAGTGGCAATGCTGGCCGCCGTATAAGCCGTTCAAGATCACCTCCTGATAATTAAATAAATGCTTGAATTTCGAAAAAATACTTATAAAGAAGTCGGTTTTCACTTCTTTTTTCTTTCCTAAATATATGTGTATGTGCTTATCGTCGAAGAAAAAAAAACCTACAAATACTTATCTTTTTTTGTGTATGTTTATTCTAATCGGCCTTCTTCTTTTTTTTGTTGTTTGTTTTTTTTGTTTTGTTCTCTATTGAACTCTGACACAATTATGCGGATTTCGTTTTCTGTGTGTGTGTACGTGTGTATTGTTGGCATTTGTGATGTGTCGAAAGAAACGCAATGGTTGTCGACATAACATATGTCGAATTTTTTTTTCTGATCTTGTAATAACTATACACGGCATTTAAAAATTAAAATAGATTTCAACAAATCGTTAAATTGAAATAATTTTATTACATTTTACAACATTTGGACATCATATATACTCTGATAATGATTGTCGAAGCAAGCAATCCAGGCAAAAGAAACTATTTTTTTAAATGCGTTGTAAATTAATAAAAAGAGATATAGTTTTTTTTATATTATTGTTGACAGTGTAACTAAAAATAGATAATACGCAAGCTGTATTTCACGAAGAAGTAAAGAAGATTTTATAGGAGAATTCAAGTTAAATGAAAATTACTGCCTATGAAATATTTCTCGATAGTTATACTTAAAATGTTGGAATAGAGTATAAATCATTCTATCGATTATATATACATTTCATTATGTAATAGAAGATGTTTTACGTGCTCTATTTGTTAAGCTGTTAAAAATCTCTTTTATCATAAGATATGTCTTAACAGATCATTAATGAAATTATATCAAAAAAAATCTCGTTTAATTCATTCCTATTTATTCTTACATACAAACAAAATTAAGATATTTATTTATTATATACTGTGACAGTCTCTTACTATAATAGAAGTAGAAGCAAGTGTTCATAGTACAAAAAGAAAAACAAAAGCAAAAGAAAAACAAATATATATCGGACATAGACTAACATACATATAAATAGATTATATGTATAGTGCAATGGACCAATGGAAAAGAAAAGTACGAATTAAATAAATTATTCTTCGTCTCGTTCCTGAGCCATATTTAGTTTGTAAAAAATTCCTCTTTGTTCCATAAGTTCATCATGTGTACCACTTTCTTTAATTTTTCCATGATCGACTACAACAATTTTTTCTGAATTTCTTATTGTTACTAAACGATGTGCAATCGTTAAACATGTTCGACCATGACGAGCTATATCTAAAGCATCTTGAACAACTTTTTCACTTCGAATATCTAATGCTGATGTTGCTTCATCAAGAAGAAGAAGTTTTGGATCACGTATAAGTGCTCGTGCTATAGCAATACGTTGTTTTTGTCCACCACTCATCTGACTACCTTTTGTACCACACAGTGTATTATAACCCTAAAAATAAAGTATAAGTTAATAAACTATTCTTCCTGTCTATAATTTAATTTACATCGGGTAATGAAATAATAACATCATGAATATTCGCTTTTTTTGCTGCTTGTTCAATTTCTGATTGTGAAACAATTCTTGTAGTATCACCATATGCTATATTATCACTAACGCTTAAATTAAATAAAACTGGTTCTTGTTGAACAAATCCAATTTGTGCTCGTAACCATGTTAAACTTAATGTTCGAATATCATGACCATCAAGATAAATAGTACCTTGATATGGATCATAAAATCGAAGAAGAAGTGCAACACATGTACTTTTTCTAAAGATAAAAACATTTTATATAGGAAAATATAATTCGAATTTTATATACCCTGAACCACTTGGTCCGCAAAGTGCAGTTGTTTGACCAGCATTTGCTAATAAATTGAAGTCTTTTAAGACACGCAATGTTGGCCGTGATGGATAGATGAATTTAACTTTTTCAAATTTAATATTACCAGTCATTTTATTCTAAGAAAAAAAATAACATCCATAGATTAAAATAGTTCAAATACTAAGTTCTTACCAATACAATTCCATCTGTATTTTCTGGATTAATTTTTGATTGACGTTTATTTAAATTTAATATTCTAATTGCACTTTCTTTTCCTTTAGCATAATCTGGTATCATAGCTGTCGATCTATAAAAATTTAATTTTAATAACAGAATTTCTATATCAAATACATACCGTCCTACACTCATTGCACCAAAAGTAATTACTGAAAAAACTCTATAAATTAACAAATCAGTATATTATTATAAAACATATGTATATATCTATTTACCGAAATACATGTTCAACTTTCATTTCTTTATTATCTACTAAAACACTTCCATAACCAAATGCCGTAGCATGAATAAAAAACATTAATGAATTTGCTAAAGCTGTTCCAAGTGACTGGATTTGAGTTTTAATCATCGCTTGTCTATAAGAAATCAGATATGCATATGTATGTTTTTATTTTTCAAAAATATATTTTACCGAAAACTTTTATTAAAACAATCTTCATAATGTGAAATAAAATACTCTTCTTGATGAAGTCCAACAACTGTTCGAACACTACCAATTGCTTCTGTTGCAAACTGAAATATTTATTTGAAATAAATATAAAACTAAAGCAAAAAACAAGAACAATTCTTACCTGTCCTCCTCGTTCATCCCAAGATAATTTTCCAGCTTTTTTTTCTGTAGGTTTTTTTGCATTAGCCATTCGTCTTCCTTGTAACATACCAGTAAAGATCATTAATGGAATAAATAATAAAATAACTAATGTTAATTTCCATCCAACTGTAAAAGCCATTATCAATGCACTTACAATGGCACCGAAAGCATTTAAAATAACACCCATTCGTTGTCCAGATAAACCCTTTTGTTTTTGAGAAAAAGAAAGAAATTATTTTTTTTGATATAAAATTTTTTCTATACTTTTAAACTAGCTGCATCTTGAGATAGTTGAGTTACTAAAGCACCAAGGTCATTTTCTTCTCTATCAAACCAACCGATTTCTTGTCTAAGCATTGAACCAAATGACATAACACGCATACGCATTGTTAATGCTTCACCACTTTTTGAAAAAGCAATACTACTGATACATTGACATATACCACCAAGAACACCAGTAAAAAAGATAATTATTGCATAGTTACGTGTTAATACATTTGCTTTATGTAAATCTCGTTCAGCAAATAAACCATAGATATTTGAGAAAAAGAATGCGAATACCTAAAAAAAAACATAAATTCAAAGAAATTATTTTTAATATATATCGATTTACAGGTGTTAAACAACCGAAGATAACAGATGTTATACATCCAAGTATAATCCAATTTATTTCAGGTAAATTAAGTTTAAGAATTTTAAAAATAAATGGTTGACGAAGAAATCTTTTTTTCTTTATTTCAACAGTTGTATCGTCAGCTGCAACATCAGGAGTATCAGATGCTGCTGATACAACAGAACCAAATGACATTGTACGTTTACGAATCATATCCTCTTAAATGAAAGAGAATATTTAACAATCTTTCTATGAGAATAAATTTCTTATATTTACCTTTTGTTGCTTCTGGTTCATCTTCATCTGATGAATCTGGATCTTCATGTTTCTCTTTACGTTGTTGAGCAACTACCAATTCATAGTAAAGACCTTTTTTCGCCATCAAATTATCATGATTTCCATATTCAATTACTTCACCTTTGTCCAATGCAACTATTAAATCAGCATTTCGTATGGTACTCAAACGATGAGCAATCACAATTGTTGTTCGACCTTCTTTTGCACGATCTAATGCATCTTGAACAACTCGTTCACTTGTATTATCTATTATTTTAATACAAACATATATATATCAGACTTTTCATATTACAAATAATAACAAACCAAGTGCACTTGTTGCTTCATCTAATAATAAAATCTTTGGATTGGAAATCAATGCTCGTGCAATTGCAACTACAACGATAATCATATGTTTATTTTAGTTCTACATAATAGTTCATCAACTTTACCTCGTTGTTTTTGACCACCACTTAGTTTATCACCTGATGTTGTTTTATAGTTCTACAAATTATAATATAAATATGTATACATTAATGGAAAAGAGAAAGAAAGTAATACTTCTGGAAGGTCCATGATGAACTCATGTGCATTAGCCATTTTAGCAGCAGCTTGAACTTCATCATCAGTTGCTTCTGGTTTACCGAAACGAATATTTTCTTCGATTGACCCAGTAAAAAGAACTGGTTCTTGACTAACAACTCCAATACGTTTTCGAAGCCAAGTGACATTTAATGTTTTGATATCAACTCCATCGAGTAAAACTTGACCACCGTCTGGATCATAGAATCGTTGTATTAATTGAATACTTGTGCTTTCTATAAATGAGAAAAATTTATGAAGAATAAAGAAACGATAATTTAACTTACTTCCACATCCAGATGCTCCGACCAAAGCAACTGTTTTACCTGATGGAATTTTCATACTAATATTTTTCAAAATCTAAAGATACAATTTGTTTTTTGAAATGTCAAAAAAAATACTTTTTCTTCTATCTAACCGGTGTATCTTCTCGAGCTGGATATGTAAATGAAACATTTCTTAATTCAATATCACCAATAACAGTCGATGGCATTTTACCTTCATTGGTAAATGCATTTATTTTGGATATCTATTCATAAAAGAAAATACAAACATTATTAAAATGAAAGAATAGGAAAATACTCTTGATATAATATCAAATACATAGCCACCACTACCAGATGCTTCAGCAAAAGCTTGAAGATTTGGTACTATCTGAGAAATACTAAATGTTGATTGTAAACACGATATAAAAACCTGTAAATTAATATATAAAATAATAAATATTATCTTAATTGTTTATGTCTACATACAACAATCACAGTTCCAGCATTATAATTTTCACATTCTGTTCGAACAAGATGTGGTCCATCTTAATTGAGATATTTATTTAATTATAAAATAAAAATGATCGAAATACTTACACCAAAATGTAACAGTAAATGATAAATAAATTGCAACTTGAGCCACAGCTTGACCTATACCCATATAAAGACCTTTCTTTATACCAATTTGCTTTGCTTCAATTAAATTCTCTGCAAATCTAAATAAACAAAAAAACTTGAATAAGTTTTCTATTTGTTTATATTTTATATAAACAACCTTTCTTCTTCTTTCTTTTGTCCACCAAATGCGGTTACTGTTCTTATAGAGCCAAGAACTTCTTGAGCTACAGCACTTGCTTTTGAATATGCTTGTACTTCTTTCCTCGTAAATTTTACAATTACCTATATGAATTTAAATATTTTTATTTGATATTATATTTATTAACATACCCGCATTAGAATATTAAATGTAATAATAGTCAATGGACTGATTGATATAAACACCAATGCTAATTTCCATCCTATGAAAATCAAACATATATATATATATATATTCAGTATACTTATATTGAAATTTACCGGTAGTAAAAGCAAATATGAGACCACCTAATACTCGACAAATTAAACTGATAAATTCAGCTTTCTTATCTCCTAAACCATCACGAATTTTGTCTATAGAAAAATAAAATAAATAAATTTTCAATCAATAATTTTCATTTACCTAAATCAGCTACTAAACGACTACTTAATTCACCCGGATTTAATTTATCAAACCATCCCATTTCTTGATTCATAATTGAACGAAATAATGCAAATCTCATACGTCGAACTTGACGTTCCGCTGCAATCATCTACATACATAAAATAATTCTATTAATATATTTTCAAGTCATATATATTTCTTTTTCATACCCAAAATGAAAATCCAATCCAATAACACAGTATACTTATACAACCTAATATAATATACCATTTAATTCTATCTCGAATTTCTGCTGTCACACTTGAAGTAGAATTTGGTGCTTGAGGAATACTAAATATACAAAGACAAACAGACTAATTTATTATATATTATACAAAATTCTAACCATGCTGGATTAATATTAAGTTGTGTTATATTAAATTCAGGATTAGCATCAACACCAGCACTAACAAGTGATGATGCAACACCTAAATCATATCATAATAAAATTAAAAAAAAATTTTTTTTATTCTAATTAAAATTATACCTTGATATATGAACATCATCAATGGAAATACCACACTAAAATATATTTTCTTTTTTAAAATAACTCAATTTTTGAATTAATCAAATATTTACCCAGTACATACGCAAGCTATACTACCAATGAACATAAGAAGATAATCGAGTCGATCAGCGAATTTATACTAGAATACAAAATTTCATATTTTATGTTTATAATTGAATATGAATAATACAATTTCGAGGAATTTTAAATCTCGACCAGCTGGTTTTTTCTTTCTAAAATTTAATTAATTATAATTTTTTTTATTTTTTTTTCGAAAGAAATCTTACGCAAATTTTTTTTCTTTTGGGTCATCTTCAATAACAACATTAGATTCTCCATGTCCATTTATACCATTGGGATTATTTTCTTTAAATAAATTTCTTTTTAATTCATTATCTTCAGTAATTACCGAACCAGTTGATCTAAATTCATAGATTTATTAATAGATCAATAGAAGAATAGCGAAAAGAAAGGCACCTTTTTCGATTAGTTTTCTTTTTTTTTAATTTACCCATTGAAATAAATTTTATTTATACAACGAGAAACATGTTCATTCTCAATCAATCTTAGTACACTGACAGGAAACAGCTGATTAATTTTCTTCAACCGCAATTATTGGTTGAAAACGAAAAGCACGTGGGAGAAAATATGTTTCATTTATAAAAACTGTCAATGAAGATGGTATTTAAAATTATCTGTTTAGATTAAAGAAGAAAAACATAAGTTTCTTTTTTTAGCAATCCAAAGAAGGAAAGGAAATAATTTTAATATAACATTTCTATCAAAAGAGGACGCTGCCAACTAATGAGATACATACTGTAAATTGTTCTTTGATGCCATTCCTGGTATAGTTGAATAATCTCTTGTACGATTTGTCTGATCAGTATCGTCATGATCGAGAGTATAACTAGTTTTTTTCCATTTAGTAACAATCGACATATTTAATACACATAGAATAATTAAATTGAAATATACGTAGATCTGAATTTATGAAATAAATTATTTCAAGGTAAAGTGTTTTATTTTCAAGCTTACCTGTCAGGATACAAAACAAAAAACGAAGAAGAAAACGTTTAGTGTTTTATATTCGAAAGCTTTATTACTGATAAGATGTATATAAAAAAAGGTAACGGCAGCAGCGTATTCTTTGCATGTAGATAGAGACATATCAGTATTCGAAAGGTGCGTTTTCGTACAAAGAACGCACGATCATGACCTGAAGCTTATTCAAAATCAACAAAACATTGCATCATATAGCATTTATCTAACAAAAACAAGGGTATCAAATCATAACATCCCCTTTATTCTGTATACGTGGCTCATATGAAACTTGTTTACTAATAATAGAGAGTATTCTGAAGATTTATCCTACTTAAATAGGGGAATATATATTCTGGTCAGTAAAATAACTGGATTTTTAATATATTTTAAAATCAGTTAATTGAATTAAAGTGTAGTTAAAAAGATGGAAATGTGTTATAGCATCACTCCTCACCAACTCTTGATTGGACGAGATCCATCCACATTTACTGCAAAAATATTTGTTACAGAATCAATAATATCTTCAGAATCATGGATTTTATAGTATCAAACAGTTAAATCAACAAAAAAAAATAGTTTGTGCTCCAATTCATGTTTGATGAACAACATATACGAACACAATGTCGTGTATGTATTCGTTAAAAATAGGAAGCGGCTATGTGCACTCAAGTGTACATAATCAAGTGGCTATGCGCACTCAAGTGTATATGGTCAGATGGCTATGTACACTCAGACAGTCATAAAAAGTATTTAGCAAAAATTAAGTCAGAGCAGTCTTATATGCACTTGATTTATAACATATATGAAATGCCTTAACTTAATAGCAATTTAACATTATTACTTTTTTACTATATTCAAAAAAATGTACAGATCAAATATTACAATTACATAAATATAAAAAAATTTCAGTCTTGATAAATATCAATCGATTTAAGGGTGTGCCTATAGTATGGATGACATACTACTCTTGTTTCTTACTCACACCCACACCCTTAAATAGCATTCAGACAGCTGTTTAAACCTTGTTTCATATGTATTATGAATAAAATTTTGAAGCCAAAATTAATAAAATATAGTCTTTTATGTTAAGAATATTAAGAAATTATTGAGATTTCGAATTTTTATTTATTTATGCACATAAAACGCATTTGATTTCTTAGAAAAAATATATTTGACCTGAATATCAAGATAAAAGCATTTGTTAATATCTATATTTAAATTTTCATTATATTACTATTTTTACTTTTTATACCCTTGTTCATTGAAATTAATGTGATAGCAAAATAGCCTTTTCAATATTGAATTTTGATATAATAAAACAATTGTACTGCAGAATTTCAATAATAGTTTATTATTTAAAAATAACATCATAGCAAGTAAAAACTCAAATTAACATTTACAAGAAATTATTATATTTTATAAATACAGACAAATATATATATAATAGAAAGAAAAGTTTTTAATAGTCATTTATTATAGACATTAATATTTGACATAGATCGGTTTGTTCAACGGATAATACCATAATATTAATGTTAGAATTAAGTTGTTCGTTCTTGTGCTAATGCTAATTTAGCATAAACTCCATTTAATCTCAATAGTTCATCATGTGTACCCTAAAAATATAAGAAAGGATTTTGTTTATTTTTGATATATGCTGATAAATAAATAAATGATGATGATACTAACCTCTTCTTTCATTCTACCTCGATCAACAACAGCAATTTTTTCTGAATTTTTAATTGTTGATAAACGATGAGCAATAGTTAGACAAGTTCGTCCAGATCTTGCTTTATCTAATGCAGCTTGTACAACTTTTTCACTCTTATTATCTAAGGCTGATGTTGCTTCATCGAGAAGAAGAATTTTTGGTTGACGAACTAATGCACGAGCAATAGCAATACGTTGTTTTTGTCCACCAGATAATTGACCACCTTTAGCTCCACAAGATGTTTCATAACCCTAGAATATGAATAGATTAGAATAGAAATTATAATATAAAGAAAAAAAGAAATAAACCTTAGGTAAACTGATAATTAATTCATGTATATTAGCTCTTCTTGCAGCATTTTCAATTTCATCTTGTGTTACTTCTCGACTATTATCACCGTAAGCAATATTATCATGAATAGAAAGATTAAAAAGAACTGGTTCTTGCTGTACAAGACCAATCAATGATCGAAGCCATCGAATATTAAGAACTTTAATATCATGTCCATCAAGTAAAACTTTGCCTTTTAATGGATCATAGAAACGTTGTAATAATCCAACAGTAGTTGATTTTCCACTACCAGATGGACCAACAAGTGCTGTTGTACCACTTGATGGACAATTTAATGAAAAATCTCTAAGAATACGAAGAGTTGGTCGACTTGGATATCGAAAACGTATATCACGATATTCAATATCGCCTATAACATCTTTCTAGAAAAAGTAAAAAGAAATTATTTTCATTTTGAAAAAAAGAATAATATGAATGACAATAATACATACTAGAATAATGCCTGATTCATCATGAGGATTAATTTCTGATTGTCGTTTACTAAGTCGAATAATTCTCAATGCAGCCATTTTTCCTTTCTTATAATCAGGAATCATAGCCATTGAACGACCAACAGTTATCATTGCAAATGTAATAACAGCAAAAACTCTATAATAAATATTTTATTTATATTATTTCATAAAAATAAAGCACTTTCGTTTTACCTAAATACTGCATCGAATTTCATTTCTCCATTTTGGACAAGTTGACTACCATATGCAAAAGTAGCACTATGAAGAAAATACATCACTGAATTAGCAACACCAGAACCTATTCCCATGATATGAAGTTGACACATTTGTCTCCTACGTATAAACATTATTTTGTAGAATAAATGTAGTAGAAAGAAATCAATAAAAATTCATACTTGAATTCTTTATTGAATGCACCTTCATAGAGATTAATGAAATGTTCTTCACGATGAAGAGCAACGACAGTTCGAATCTGTTCAATAGCTTGTGTAGCATGCTATACAATAGAAAAATTATAAAACTAATAAATAAGCAACCTATAATATTATTTGTTTATACCTGTCCACCTTTTTCAGCCCACGAATCATCGTCTTTTGCATTATCGGCTTTACCTTGTTTTTTACCTTGAACCAATCCCATCAACATCATAAGAGGAACAAAACACAGAACAACAAATGCTAATTTCCAACCACTTGCAAATGCAATAGCAAGAGCTGTTATACCAGCACTTGCTGCTTGAATTATAATACCAATACGAACTCCAGTTAAACCCTATAAAAATATGTTTTTTTATATGATCTCATAGAATCTTTATCTAGAATAATTACCTTTAGAGCAGCTGCATCTGATGATAGCCGAGTAACAAGTGCACCAACTGAATTTTGTTCATAATCGAAATAACCCATTTCTTGTCGAAGCATAGCAGAAAATGTCAATACTCGCATACGCATTGTTAATTCTTCGCCTGACTTAGCAAATCCAACACTACTAAAAAATTGACTTAGCCCACCAACAAAGCCGATGACAAAAATAACTCCAGCATAAACGCTTGCTAAATGTCTTTGTTCGTTAAGATCTGGGTTAGCAAATAAACCATAGACTTGAGAAAAGAATAATGCAAAAAGTGGTTGCATAGCACCAAAGAAAGCCGAGCAAATTGCACCCAAAAGAATCCAATGCCATTCAGGACCATTAAGTCTAAGCATTTTAAAAATAAAAGGAACATGACAAAATTTCTTCTTTTTCTTTGCAGTTTTATCGGATGTTGGGTCATCATCTTCGTCGTCATCATCAATATAATCATCTGCATCACCAGCCGAGATGCTAGATTGTTTTGACATACTGCGATTTGCTAAAATTAATCGAGCAATTAGTTTTATAAATATTATTCAACAAGAAAAATGTACTTGATCGTTGTCGAACAAATTTTTCTTCTTCTTCATCTTCTTTATCACTCTCCGGTTCAACTTCTTTTTCTTTTTCTTTTTGAGTTTGTGCTGTTACCAATTCATAGTAAAGACCTTTTTTCGCCATCAAATTATCATGATTTCCAGCTTCAATTACTTGTCCACGTTCTAATCCAACTATTAAATCAGCATTTCGTATGGTACTCAGACGATGAGCAATTACAATTGTTGTTCGACCTTCTTTTGCACGATCTAATGCATCTTGAACAACTCGTTCACTTGTATTATCTATTATTTTAATACAAACATATATATCATACTTTTCATATTACAAATAATAACAAACCAAGTGCACTTGTTGCTTCATCTAATAATAAAATCCTCGGATTTGAAACCAATGCTCGTGCAATTGCAACTACAATGATAATCATATATTTATTTTAGATTTACATAATAGTTCATCAGATTTTACCTCGTTGTTTTTGACCACCACTTAGTTTATCACCTGATGTTGTTTTATAGTTCTACGAATCATAATACATATATACATTAATGGAAAAGAGAAAGAAAGTAATACTTCTGGAAGATCCATGATGAACTCATGTGCATTAGCCATTTTAGCAGCAGCTTGAACTTCATCATCGGTTGCATTTGGATTACCAAAACGGATATTTTCTTCGATTGATCCAGTAAAAAGAACAGGTTCTTGGCTAACAATTCCAATTTGTGAACGAAGCCAAGCAACATTTAGCGTTTTGATATCTCTTCCATCAAGTAAAACTTGACCATGTTCTGGATCATAGAATCGTTGAATTAACTGGATAGTTGTACTTTCTATAAATAACAAAAAGTTTATGAAGAATGAAGAAATGATAGTTTAACTTACTTCCACATCCAGATGCTCCAACTAAAGCAACTGTTTTACCTGATGGAAATTTTAGTGATAGTTTATTTAAAATCTATAGAATAAAAACAAAGGTTGATGAAAACATTTCATAAAAGTATTATAAAAATCATACAGGTGCTTCTTGTCGAGCAGGATAAGTGAAAATAACATCCTTAAATTCAATATCACCAGTTAGACTTTGTGGTTTTTCACCATCGTCAATGGATGCATCAATTTTTGTTTGCTAATAAATGAAAAAAGCATAACTTTCTATTGAATATTAATAAAGTAATCTGTTACATACTCGATCTATTATCTCAAATACATAACTTCCACTACCCAAAGCTTCGGCAAAACTTTGAAAATTTGGGATAAATTGTGCAATACTATTTGTTGCAACCTAAGAATTATAACTATTGTAACTATAAACTATTATTTTGTCAAAGATAACGTACCATACATCCGACGAACACCTATAATTAAAAAACTTTGTAATCAAACAAGAAAATAATATTATAATATACATACCACAATAACTGTACCAGCTGAGTAATGATGACAATCAGTTCGGACAAGTTCCGGACCATACCAAAATGTAATTGCAAATGCACCAAATGTAGCTATTTGATTAAAACCTTGACATATTCCCATATATAAACCTTTTTTCAATCCCATTGATTTTGCTCTTGTTAAATTTGTAGCAAATCTAAATCAAATAAAAATAAAGCTTTTTACAGGTATAGATAGATTTTTGATAATCACCTTTCTTCTTCTTTTCTTTGACCATGAAATGCTGTTACAGTTCGAATACTTTGCAATACTTCTTGTGCAACAGACGATGCAACAGCAAAAGCTTGAATTTCTTTTATTGTATATTTTATAATAACCTTAAAGAAAAAAAAAATTATTCCTGTATTTAAGTGGATATATAATATCAAAATTGTTTTACTTTGACTGTTAAATTGAATGAAATAATTATCAATGGTGATATAGATAAAAACACAAGTGTTAATTTCCATCCTATTGCAAGAGCATAGACTAATGAGCCTAACATACGAGCCAAAAGAGACATGAAATCCGGCATTTTTTCACTATAATTTTACAATATTAAAATATATATATATACTTTTATTTATGGTACATACTTTATTCCATTTTTTATTTTATCTATAAAATAGAAGATTAAAAATCTATAGATATTTTTCAAGTCAGAATTTTGCTTACCTAAATCATCAACAAGACGATTACTTAATTCACCTGCATTACGTACATCGAACCAACCAATTTCTTGTCGTAAAATATTTCGAAATAAAGCATAACTAAAAAAACAAATTATTTATGGATATTTATACGAATAACTACGCACCGAATACGTCGAATTTGTCTTTCAGCAGCCATTATCCAACTTGCCCAAGCCATCCAATAAAAAAATATACTGAGAAATCCAAGAAGTACATAGAAATGAACATAGTAAAGAATTTGTTCATGAGGCGATTTAGAATTAGTACTATTGCTCGGTAATGTGAAACTACAAAAATCACATTATAAAAAACCATTAAAATATGAAAATAAACTATCTGTACCATTCACTATTATTATTGCTTGTAACGATAGTACTAGCAGTAGCATTTGTCTGTAATTTTCCCAAATCCGTAAGAGCATTTACTACTTTTTGATAAAGAAACAACATTACTGGAAAAAGAGCTATAATAAATAAAAAATCTCAATATTTTGTTTTTGTATATTAAAATTAAAAAATATTACCTCCGGTTATTATTGCTATAAGAGAAAAAAAGAACATTAAATAGTAAAATTATATAAGGAATATAAAATAAAACTAACCAGCTATTGTACCGATAATCATTAAGAAAATATCTATTTTATCGGCAAATCTATAGATTTGATATGCCTTTAAACGTTTGGGTTTAGGTTTTTTAGGTTGTTTTGAATTACGAAAAAAACTATAATAAATAGAAATTTAGAATAGATTATAAGAAAAATTCAACGAACGGAAGTTTTGCAAGAAAATTTAATCGACTATGATGAACAGCTGTTTGTTGAGTCATTTCAGCTGCACCTGCAGGAGCAGCCATAGCACCTTTCATTTTTTCTATTTCATCTATATCTTCTAATTGATCTTCTAATTGTTTTTCTTGTTCATCATTACTTAATTCATCATCATCACGAACAGGATTATCATAAGAATAAGCAATTTTATGTTCATTGTACGGAGAATTTTTATTCGAACGCGATCTATAAAAATAAATATTTAATAAATCGAAAAAAAATATCTATTATTACTTGTTAGCTTCATTTTTCATATCATCATGAACATAATTATGATTAGGTAAATATTCTATCGTTGGCAATGAATCATCATTAATATCAATTGATTCTGCTTCAAAATTTGGATTAGACATATTTTATCCAATATATTCTAATAAAATTAAACTATCAGACAAAAAAAATACAATTAGTAGTCAGTTATAAACATAAAAATTACCTTCAGTAATAATTTTGAATACGTCTCACCTATGTATATTTTTTTATTTCTATGAAAGTATACAAAATACGATGACTATATGTATACACATGCAGAGAAAATACTATTTATGTACATATATATATATACGCTTATATCGAATCGCAGGTCACGCTATTAGAGATACTTTCGAACGTTCGAGTACGATAGGTCAACAAATATTTGCAAGTAGTTTACACATGAATGCATATGAATGAAAGGATATTCTTTAAAGTGCAAATGCCCTTCATAACCTTTGAGTCAAGATTACGAATTATGTTATCATAGAATTTTCGACAGAAGTCTGATCAATGTGTTAATATATTTTCACACATTTTTTTAAAATTATTATCAGAATTAAAAAATCTATATTTTTCGATCGTCTGCATACATTAAGAACGAAAATAACAACAGTGTGTTATGCTTGATTATACAATCTACAGAAGAAAAAAATTAGTCTTTAGTAACGGTTCGTTCGCTAAGTACAAACGAATACGGATTGTAGAGAAAGAAAAATATTTCTGATTTCTAATCGAAACCTAGAAAGAAGAAAATGAAAAAAACACTTCATATCGAGGTTGATTTAATTTTGAATAAGACACAAGTACGCGCTCTTTCGATTTGTCATCAATATAGTCTGTTCAGGTTTTTTGACATCAACTTATTCTAATAAATTTATTTAATTATTCTATAAATAACATGTTTATAATGAAGGTAAAATTACATCATACGATTTATTTTTCATTTATAATTATATCATTTTATAAAAACAGAAAGACAAACACAAAACAAAAACAATTCAATAGTCTATTAAATAACGATAGGTACCAATAATCCAATTATTATATACATCTTATTTAAGATAAATCATTATTTGTGCTAGAAGAACGTTTAAAACGAGCAACATAATTGGATGGACGATGTTCGAGAAGCCATATACCTGGTGGTGATGTTGGACGAAGATAAGCATAAATATAACTACCAAGAAAAGCAATTAATGACAGGATTAAAACAGTTATTAATAAAGTAATAATAATTGTACGAAGTGTATAGAATGTTGAATGTTGTCGAGATAAAATCTGTGATGGAATTTTATTTAAATCGACAAGTGACGGTGTTAGCAGAAATCGATTATTATCATTGTTATCATTTAATGTATCTTCAATATTAATTGGACATGTGTCTTCTGAAGCAAGACGATGACATTGAGCCCGTATCCATTGATGACGTGATCGATCGTATCCATCCGAACATTTTTGAATATTATCACACCATGAACAATTATATCGTTTACCACGATTAGCCAGACATGATGCACAATCTGTAAAGGTGTTACATGCTAAAGAAAATACAAAGCATTTTGTTTACATTATATAATTCATTGAATATTCTTTCGCTATTATTGTTATTATACTTGACAGTCAGTTTTCGATAGTAATAATAATAATATTTACATAATTTAGAGGGGAGAACGAGAGCAAATACATCGATAGCGTCACCAAAAAAGACTCGTGTTATAATAATATAGGAAGCAAATTTGCGTCGATGTAAAAAATTATTTTTTTGCGCTTATTACGGATGATCGTGCAATTTATTTTTTTTCTTCCTTAATATTTTATGCAAAAATTAAACTTACTGTTATCCATATAAAAAATAATTGAAACACCATTTTTAATTTTTTCTTTATCTAAATTAATTTTATCATAAAGTGTGATAACACGAACAATATGATCATTTGTTGCATGTTCAGACATATATGCATCTGATACACCAATACGATGAGCATGATTTATAATTGATATTTTCACTTGTGGAATACGCATATAATTAAAATAAATATTACCTAATAGAAAGAAAAAACATTTTCTAAAACAGAAATAATTTATTTCTAACCATTATTTTCTAGAATAGTTTGAAATGTAAATGGACCAGTATCTTGTTGATCTTGTAAATAAAGATTATTCCATGTACATATAAAATGTGTACTATTATCGAAATATTTTATTGTAGATTGATTTCCACCAATTGATACATCAAAATTTGCCATGAATGGTGCAATACTTTATTTAAAGAAAAAAATATATTTTGCTTTTACAGGATGACGGTAACTTACTACTGTGTACTACCGATTAATGCTGAATGTAATAAATCACCAGTATAGATAAAACCTAGAAAAGTAAGAATAGTATTAAACTCCTAGATATTTCTAACGAGGGAACTACCCGAGGTATCAAAAAGCTTTAGATCTGAAACTTAGTCCACACCAAGACCTCAGTCAGACAAGCTTGCTTGCAAAGTTTCAGAAATTCCAGAAGAACTGTCTCCGAGATACAAGCATGTTAGCATAAAGACGCTTTCTTATGAATATTAGGTCTAACATGAATATTTTGACGGATCCATATCTCGAAGATAATCTGTCTAAAATTTCTGAAAATTTGTTAGCAAGCTTGTCTCATTGAGGCCTAAATAGTCGATATCTCAGTCAAACATCAACTTGGGCACATATCCTTTTAGACTTTTTCTAGTCTATGTATCCCTTACTTGTGGGCAAAATTTCAGCTCAACAGCTTTTTGATAGTTCCCTCGTAAGTCATAACTTTATCACAACCCTCCATTTATACTGTAAGTTTAATAAAACATACCTCCTGTTCCAATCAATATTTTATTAATACTATGTCCATAAAATGGAAAATTAAATTTTAAATTGATACTCTATAATTAACAGAAATTTGATTTTTAAATGAATAATTTATAGAATCAAAATTACTTACAAATGCTGATCGATGTCGATCAGAAAGTGCATGTATATGAATAAATTGATTAGTATCTTCAACAAAATATAAAGGTTTTCCTTCAGATTTTGGAATAATATATGAAACATTATAATAGCGATGATCATTCTTTAAAAAAATATATTTTTATTTTATTTGAAACATTAACATCAATATACATACAACATAAACTGTTTGTTCTGTAGTATTCAATAAATCTTTATTTGATTCAATAAAATTTAATTCTTCGTCTTCATCTAATTTTGACCAGTGTAAATTTTGTTCCAATTGAGTTGCTATACTAGTTGATGGTAGTTCAACTTGATTTGCTATACAAATAAAAATAATATAAATAAAAAGAAGAAGAGAATGAATTACTTGAACATATATAGCCTTCAAGAAATGCTTCAGCTTGTCGTAAATACATTGAACATTGTTCGTTTATTTCTTTCTTTACTTCACTTATAAAATTCGGTATTGTTCTAATAAAAATATAAAATTTTACAACTATAATAAATTGAAAAAGCCTTACTCGCAATAATTATCAATTTTAGCATTATTTTGTTCTTCATAATCAATAGGATTGATTATTACATTATCAGTCCAATGCGTAAGTAAATTATGTAGAATAATAAGTCGTTTATCATTTGGACATAATGTATGTAAATCATAATTATGACAATTATTATTTCCGAGTAAATGAAATAGATTAAGAATTAAACTTCCATATGATTTTACATCTAATGAACAATGAATAGATTCAAGACAAGATGCTAATGCTCTATGATAAGACAAATGATAATCAAATTGAATATATTTTTTATTTATTTATGGTGTCTTACGTGCACTCTGTTAATTGTGAACAACTAGATAGTTTAGTATAAATATGTTGATCACATTGTTTAGAAATAATATTTGAATATTTTATTTCTGAATTAAATAAAGGAGGTTTATCACGTTTTAATCGATTCGTTGATGTTACAATTGTATAAGATGGATAATAAGTATTTTTTGGATCATTTATTAATAAAACATTCTCATCAATTTGTATAGATTTATTAAATAAAAAAATGAAATAAAACAAAATTTGAATGAAATATTTCATTTTAATCTAAATAAAAAAAAAGAAATAATACCAGATGTATTATATTATTACAAAATGTTTGTCTATAATCTTTTCTGTATACGAATAAGAAATTGAATGACAAAGACAATTGAAATATGTTCGTATTATTGGACATTCTTGTCATGGAAAAAGAAAGAGAGAGGGAGAGAACGAAGAAGAAGAAGAAGACAGAATAGTTATATGAGGTCACCTGTATACTTGCTTCAGTGAATAGGAGAAGGGTAAGCCGAATGTTTCATTGATCATACATGTTCGTTATTTCGTCTCTTCTCGTTTCTCTCCTTCTCGGTGACAAACGAATAATTGATCATTACTATGGGAGAAAGAGAGAGAGAGAGAAAGAAAACTAAGAGTTCATTCAAAATGGATATCTTCTGTTCAGTGACATTCAATACATATTATTATAAGTATTTTTATTCACAACAAAAATTCTATAGAGCACGGTTATTATTATCAAGCAATCAAACATAAATGAGTGTATCAAGAATAATACAATTGAACGAATGAAATCTAGCATAGTAATCATCGTTTCGATATCCTACTTAAGAAAAAACACTAAATAAACTTTGTAAACAAAGAAAGTTCGAAATAAAACAGATATTTCACAATTAAAAAACTAGGTGAGATGGTCACAATACCCTCAGTCAGGTCCGCCCACCCACTCTAAAACATACATAGGGTAGTCAAAAAGTTTTGCAAACAGCTATTTGAATTTTCATCCTAACTGATTTTATTCCCCATGTTGGCCTATTTTAGTAGTCACATCTGTTATGGCAAATTTTGAACGAATGTTTTTTAATACCTCTATTTTCATATGAAAAAACAGTGCATCCGCTCGTATATAAAAACTTGTTTATTCTTAGGCTTAACAGCTACACAAATTCATAATGAATTAACTGCTGTTTACGGATTAGATGTAGTTTCATATAGTACAGTTACTCGGTGAATTGAACGATTTTCAAATGAGCGAAAGTCCATGAAAGATATTCCTCGAAGTGACCGTTTGTTATCCGCCATCACTTATTGTGGTGGATACTCAAAGATACTAGTAAAAAATTTACATCAGAAAAAATGTAGTAGTACGTATGGAAAGTATTGTTCTCCAGTTTAATTATCTTCAAGAAAAATAAATCAAAGTTATGACTCATCCATCATATTCACCTGACCTTGCACCTTCAGATTTTTCGTTGTTCGAGTATTTGAAACGTGGTCTTGATACATACCCAGATGCAACAAGTCTAGCTAAAATGTTATCTAGGGAGCTTCATTCAATACCTATTCACGAATACCAAAAGACATTCCAGAAATGGATTGAAAGGATGAAACTTTGTACAGAACATCATGTGAACTACTTTGAACATTTACTGTAAAAAGATCAGCAATATGTATGTCCTGAGTGAATAATATCTAATCCTTCCAGCTGTATATTGCTTCATTTACTTCTATTCTTTTTTGTATCGTTCACTATCATACAAACACGTAGTACAATGAGTTTTCATATCAATGAGACATCAATGACAACTGATCATCGTTTAAAACAAATCTATGAAATTTTATCGAAACGAAATCGTAATCGTGCGTTACCACTTAAAGATGTTGGATTAGCTATTCGTGCAACTGGTTATAGTTTAACAAATAATGAACTAAAAAAATTAATTGATACAAAATTAGGTGCGACATATGCTCATCAATTATTTGATCTACAGACCATTCAAGATTTATGTATTGGCTTAAAAAAACGTTCAGAAAAAGATGTTCATAATAGTTTACGTTGTTTTGATTATGAACATAATGGTTTTATATCTGCACAAGAATTAAAATATTTTTTAAGTGCACATGGAGAAAAATTAAATGAACAAGAAATTGATGAAATGTTAAGAGATATAGATATTGATGAACAAGGAATGTTAGCAATTGAACAAGTACTTTCTGTACTTTTTGTTGGAGATTATATAGAGTAAAACAAAAAAATATATTTAATTTATTATCTTTTTGACATTCATTAAATAAAATAGAAAAACCACAACAGTTGATTATTATTATTAGATGAAGAAAAAGAAAGAATTAAAAAGCTGCTAATTTATCGTTTTCTATAATTCTAACACCATCATCAATTGTTAATATAGATAAAAATGAAAAGAACATAGCAAATGATGATAATATATGCCATATATCATGTGAATCATATGTATTAAGTAATATACATCGTTGATTATATGTTCTAGATATAGCTGGTTTCACTTCATAACTTTTAACTTCATGATAAAAGAAATACATTGACGATATCCACAACATCAATGATAACAAGAGAAATGCAATAGAAAAAGATGTAAAATGTTCACGGTGAATTGCTTTCATAATGATATAATATACTAAATATAAAGCTAAATTACCAAGAAAAACAAACAATAAATGATTGGGAAATGATTCCGGTTTATAAACAGCACCATATATAGCAAATCCCATATTAAGTAAATTAGCTAGAATCAATATTCCAATACGATTTGGATAGAGTGGCCAAGAAAAAAAGCCATTATCTTTCATAAGTCGATACAAATGCACCTAAAAAAAATAACTAACCAAATTGAAAAAAAGTAAAACATATTTTTAAACTTACATGTACACGAACTGTGAACTTTAATTTACCAATATAATAAATTTTTCCAGTAAATGTTATACTAGTTATAATATGTATAATAGCATAAGTTATCCAAAACCATTGTTTATCAAAATACTAAACAAATACAAAAATATTTTCTATAGAATAAAAAAAGACATAAAGATAAAATTACCACTCCAATGACATTGATAAAAATAATAATAGCTAAAAACGAAAATGCACCAGTTGAACCTGGATTTATATCTGGATGGCGTTTTTGATAGATTTTAATGAGATTCAAAACAGCTATGATAAACATAAAGCTTGTATCAAATTGAAAATTTTGTCTCGATGGACATACATGATAACTAAATGATGATAATTATTATATAAAATATTAGTTTAATTAATATATATTTACCATGCACTCATAACACCTTCCATGAATAAAGCAATAGCCATAGCATAAAAAAGGCCAAAATGTTGTGGAATACCATATTTCTTTCCTACTGCTGGATACTGTGAAAGAAATTGAGTATAAGCTTTATCTCTATATAAAACATGGCAAAATTCTTATAAAGATATATTTATTTATTTTACCTTCTAAAAACAATAAGAAAGAAAAGAATACCCAGTGCACAATAACCAATATTAGAGAAAATATTATTAAATGCCGTTAACTTGAATAATTGTCGTGTGCATAAAAAATTAAAATAACAGATATCTTCATTTCCAATTGAATCAATATTTAATTGATATTGTAAAACGAGTTGTATAACAGGTAACGAATAAAATATAGCAATCGTTACCATTGTATGAGGATAAATACGAAATTTTTGTTTTAAATCAATATATTCTCTAACACACAATTATTGAACAGTGACATATCCAACCTAAAGAATAAAATAAATAGAATCTTGAATTTTCCTTCTCTAATTAAATATTTTATCTAAACTTACACCTTCGGGTTGGATAACTTCCATAGCAGATGTTTGACGAGCATATGCATTTGTACTCGATTCGTCTTCATTCGTTTGACTACGTTGCATACTAGCTCGACGTTCTATTTCAATACCAAAAGTTAAATATCTTATCTCATACTGAATGATACAAACCAGCAAGTTCTGCTCCTGAGGTTACTTCTAACGATGCTATAGCCAAAGAATTTCAATAAATAGAAAATGAAATAATAATAATACATACCCAAATGAGCAGTATCTAAACCATCACTACAAATAATAAATAATTTTTCAATTATATTCATAAGTAAAGAAAAAACTTACTAAGTATCCTTATATTTACACATAAGACTAAAAGCGATAAGATAAATTAGAAAAAACAATCCACCGGTAACAAATATAGCCACAAGAAGATAATTATCTATTGTAAGAAGTAAATGATTTTCAAATAAAATTTTAGACAATTTATATTTATACAATATGTTGTTGTTTGAAGTTTAACTACTGCATTTTTCTTTCTTGGTACATCAACAACACCAGCTGAACATAAATTTAAACTTAAGAAAAAAATAATCGAAAATAAAATTACAAACCAGGTTGAATCATTGTTGATTCTTTATCATTTAAACAATCAAAATCTGTTGGTTTAACAATAAAAACCAAAAGAAATTCATTTCTTTTTGGAAATTCTTTTGACTAAAACATAAAAATTCAGCATAATTCTATTCTAAAACTATCATCTACTCTCTTACATGAACATTAAACGAAGCACTTTTTGACATTGTCTGATAATGTCCTTGTCTAATACCAATTTCATTCACATCATATACTGGACAATCGAATGATTGAACAGATACACTAGTGCATAATTGATCTTGTGATTCAACTTCAATAAAAACACTTTCAACAGTAGGTGGAAATTTATATTTATAATAAACAGGCATAGATGGTGATACATCAAATTGATGTGAAACCCCTACTCTAAAAATAAACGTTTAAAAACTCATTAAACTTAGTATTTCTTTCTTACTGAAGTGAATATTCAGTGACATTATCGAGTTGAATTGAATATTCAATTAAATCCGTATTCGATGTTGATATTTCAATAAAAACAGTAGTAAGATGGTTTTCTGTACGATTAGCTTCATTATGTAAACATAATATACGTGAAACATTTGAATAAATCATTCTATAAAGAATTCAAGATTTACGAATTTTCGATTAAAACAATGTGTTTCTACCCATTTGGAAAAGTATAAGGAAGTGTCCATGAAACAATTCCACGAATTTGTCGGACTACAACTAAAATCGGCGCATCCTGTTCTATACTATATTTCATATTTGTTGTTACACGTACAGTCTATTAACAAATAATACTAAAAGAAATATGCTTGTCTACCTTCCCTATCTTTTACCGTGTTTGGCGTAAATGTATATTGAACTGCATAATAATATACGGAGCTTGAATTAACAGAACCTGTGCATAATTCTCCAATCGTACAGTTTTTCATAATAACATTTGGATTCAATGTTGAATCCACAGCATTCGAAAATAAATTATGACATTTGACAACAGTCTAATAATTATAAAAATCAACTATTTGATATTAAAAGTAAATTAAAATGTCTTACAAATAAGTTAGAAATGATAAATAATTGTATACAAAACGACAGCCGTTGCATTATTGTCTAGGAAATAACTACAATGTAAAGAAAAAATATTCGTTGTTTTTATATTTACATAAAAAAAGAAGATTGCATAGAATACTCTTCACTTGTTTCTGATAAATAAGTTGCATCTTCTCTCTTATCTGTATTTAAATATAGAAGAATTTAAATGAACAGTCAATAAGCGACATCTGGATTGTTCTGTTATTTCGAAATATATTTAGAAATGAAATTAGAATTATTTTAATATATTTAATAATCTTTATTTAGAAATTAAAAAAAATTTCAGTTCAATTCTATTCCAATTGTATCGATGGAAACGATTTGCACAATGATAGAAGAATATGGCGGTTGGTGTACTACTTTTTGTTTTTGGGATTAGTTAGTTATTAATCATGCAGACTAATTATTATTCAACAAGTGGAACAACACCTCAAAGAGCTCCACCAGGTTATGATATGAATCATCTTTATTTAAGTCCATCTCATCAACAAGCAAATCGACCAGGAATATTTCTTAAACGAAATGAAAAAATTGATTGGCGTCGAATGGGTATGAAAATTAACAAAACAAGAAGAGAATATAGATATTCATTCTTTAAATTATAGCCGCTGTTGATGTTGATCGTATTGCACGTGATATGGATTTTCAAGCATTACAGGATAATCTCGAACAAATAACATTATGTAATATTGATACTGAAATTGTAAGTTTTTATTTACAATTAACGAAAATATTTTAAATTAAATAAATAAGGATTCACGAGCTATGGATCCAAATTTTATTAAATTATATAAAATGGCTCAATTAACAATTGAATATCTTCTGGTTTGTTTTTTTGAAATAATTGAATTTTTTTATTCAATTGATTTTTGTACAGCTTTGTCAAGATCAAATAACAACTCAATTAGCAGATTATGACCAAATCAAAAGCAAAGGTTTTTATGTATGTATGATTTATTTTCTTAATATGAAAATTCATTTGAAAATCAAATAGGAACATGAAGGTGCTCATCGAGAAATTGAAAAATTAAAAAATGATTTAGCTGAAACAAAAAAAGAATCAAAAAAACGACGAAAAATGCTTGAAACACAACAAAGAATGTTAATGGCACAAAATTCGAATTATCATACTGTAAAAAAAAAACATAATTTTGAGTTTTACTAAAAAAAATTATTTTTATTTAGTGTCCCGTATGTACACATGCGTTTTTAAGTGTCAATTATTTACAAGCACATATAAAACGTCGACATCCGGATTATGATTCAAGTCGAAGACGTGAACATGATGTTGATATTGAAAAAGATATTCAACATTTAAAAGATCAATTAAATAAAAAAGAAAATGAATTACAACTTATTAAAGTTCAAAAAGCAGTTGATGAAGAAAAAATTCGAGAACGTGATACAACGATTCGTCAACTTAAAGTAATTTTCAAATTTATTATTAATCTTCTTTATTCATATTATATAGGAAGAAATTCATACATTAACAACAAAAATGACTATATTAGATGATAGATTCACACATATGAGATCAGTAAGAAAAACGAATTTTTTTTGTATTTCGTATTATTTATTAAATTTTTTAGAATGGTCTTACACGATCACCTTCACCTCATCGAAATGATAATAGTGTATCGGAATTATTAAAAGAAAATAAAGGTTTACGTGATGATATTGAACAACTTGTAAATAAATAGAATTTATGATTATTTTTAAAGAATTTTTTTCTTTATATAGAAAAAATTACTTCAACAAACAGAAAATGATTTAAAGAAAGAACAAAAATTAAAACGACGTTATGAACTTGAAAACGAAAATGTAATTATTCTTCTATGTTAACTCTTCAAATGACTTTTTTTTTCTTTTAGCTAATAAAAGAAATTTCAAAACTCAAAGAAAATCTTCAATTACTTCAAAATACATCTGGTAATTCATCTCGTTTATCTGAAGAATTGATTTCATATCAAAATGTAAGTTACACAAATATAATCATACAAAAAAGTCTCTATTTAAATATTTAGCGATATAATGAAGAAAAGTTGCTTAGAAAAAAACTTCAAAAAGAACTTCAAGATGCAAAAGGTTATTCTCAAGATCAACCAGTTATTGATCGTAAATCACCTGTACCATCAATACATTCAGTTGATTCACCAGTTCCAATCAGACCAGTTCGACCTGTACAACAATCAACAGATATAATTCTACGTAATTATTGTCCAAATCTTGTTACACGATTAAAAGATAATCCAAAATATTTAACACGATTTCGTGAAGAAGCAAAAAGACAAATCAATGATGAACTTGAAGATGGAAATCTAGGCATATCTGAAGTACGTATATAATTTATAAAAAGAAAATAAATAAAACAAAATTTGTATTATTTTTTAGACTGATACTCGCCTTACTGATCTAGATTTTCGAACTAAACAAGAAAGTGTTCTACGAACAAGACGAAATATTCAAGAAGTAAAATATTGATAATTCTATTGAGAAAAAAAATTAATAATTATTCATTTAGGATTTACCTGAATTTGAACGTATTCGTGCTGATATTAGTCGAACATTAGACAGACTTGTTACTGAACGACTTGACCTACGACGTAGTACTACATCTATACGTTCAACAGGTGGTAGTAAATTAGTTACATTTGAAGATGAACAAAAATGGGAAAAATATACAGCACAAAAGCCTTCATTGGATCAACGTCGTAATCCAACAGTAGTAGTTCCATCAAAAAGCAAATATGATGATAGTCGTCCAACAATAAATAATGATTCCGATGAAGATATGACTATTTCAAATATGCATGATAGTGATAATGATGAAAGTACACAACGAGAAAATCAACATAATATTCAACCAATACCAAGAAAAAATCTTCCGACAACAAAAGGTGTCAATGCATTAGTTAAAACTAATATAAAACCATCGCAAACAAATGAAGGAAGTACGATATCTGCTGTTGTTACACAACCACTTATTAAACGACCATCATCAACAGTAGATAGATTTAATTCTGACAGGTAAACATATACTAGACAAATGAAAATTTATCTTATTTGTTTTTTTTTGAAGTGAAAATGAAAGTCCAGTACCACCACAACATACATCAAATGCAATAGAAAAAAAACGAATTATTGAACAAAAATTACATATTTATAATAAAAACGAACAAAAACCAGGTATAAATGCTATTGCACAAGTCATTCGACCATCTCATGAATCTCTTACTACTCAAGTAAATACAATTATTTAACAAAAAAAAGTATTTAGATATGTTTTTAAATATAGAATAATGATGATGATGTTGATGAAAGTGAATCATTGACAACATTACATACAAATCCTCCAGTAAAACCATCAAATGGTCATTTACCCCAACTCTCGTATGTATTGTTTGATTGCTAATAATAATCTAATCTGCTGGCTTTCTTTTTTTTTCGAGTGTACACATGTAGCGTTTTTGTTTTTTCTTGTAAAACAACAAACAAATTATTTCTTTTTCTAGTCCATCTTCTGTAAGAACGCAATCACGTATGCAGATATAATAAAAAAAAGATGCTACTTCTCGTTTTCTTTTGCACTATCTTTATTGAATGTATCACTCTAACTAAACTTATTGCACAATATTATTTACATATTTTTGGAAGAGAACAAGATAAATTAGAAATGTTTTTTCAGAACAACAAAAAAAACATGACCTATCATTTCTAATTTATTTTCTTCTTCAAAAAAATTAAAAGAAATATATATACTAATAAATTTTTTTTTTTGTATAGAGGCCGAGAATCAGTGAATAATAATCCTTTATCATCAGGCGATGTTTCTCAACATACTTATGACTCGTAAGTGATGATTTTTGTGTTTTAATTTTCTATTTTGCTTTAATTTTGTTAGTCTATGGAAATCACAACATAGTAAAGGTGTTGAACATCGACGACCATTAACAGCTGATTCAACTAAAACTTCTATGATCGATTCTGATGATAATCTAGATGGAGAAGAATCTAATTAATCTTTTTTTTATTATTATTATATTTCTATACTTCCTTTTTATGTATATTCGTGCTTACTATAAGTAGATTTGGTAGATTTTTATAGAAGAGTTTTTTTTGTTTTGTTTTAATAATAATTATGATATATTTGTTTTTTAGAAAAAAAGGAAATGGCATTAGAAAATTATTTGAATAATATACCGACGAAATCTAAAGTAACGGCTATTGGAAGTAATCCATTGAGACGTGAATTAATACTTGGGTTTGAAGATGGATATGTATGTACTTATGATCATGAGACAGGTGACCGTATTCATGAGTGTTATAAACATAAAGGATGGGTTACAGCATTAAGTGCACTTCCTGCAGCTAAAGTATTTTTTTCAGCTGGCAATGATTCTACACTTATAACATATAATGGTTAATTGTTTTTTCTATTTAAATTTTATTTCTATTCATTTTTGTTTTTAAGCAATCGGTGGGTCTTCTGTTATTGATAAACTTAATATTGGCTCTGTAATTTATACAATTACTTATCATTCTCGTGCAAATCAAATTATTTTCGGTATATCACAAGGTAAAATAATCATATAATTATTATCGAATTAAGAAAAAAAACAAAAATCTTTCAAAGGAATTCAAATACATGAATATAATTTAAATCATATAACTGGTCAAGTTATTAGTAGTACACCATTAAGTATAGTATGTGAGCATACTGATATAACAACAGGTGTTTTAATGCTTGATAAAATCTATTCAGTTGGTTTTGATGGAAAATTAATTCTTTATGATTGTTTATTTGATAATATACCAACAGTTTCAAAAAAAGTATCTGCGCATACTGCTGGAATAACATGTTTAATAGCACAAAAGAATCCGAAAGATAATAGTGAATGGTTAATGACTGGTTCATTTGATAAAACAGCCAAAGTTTGGAGTCTTGATGGTAAACTTTTGTATAGATTTACGGATTTTACACAACCGGTAACCGGTTTAACGTATGTTAATTCAACAAAAACTGTTTGGATCGGTAACTTCTATCATTTATTTACATCGAAATAAATCATATATTTTTTTAGCTGCTGGCCTTCATTATGCTTATGTATATGATCCAAAAAGTGGTGAAAAAGTATCGAGTTTTATTGATACATTTCTGAATATTGAAGGAAAAGAAGCACATTATTTTCTTATTCTACTTCGATATATACCAGAATTAAATATTGTTATAGCTTCAACTAATATAAAACAATTTAATGGGTGGTATTATAAAACGACGTAATTACCGAAGAATTTCTTTTTTTTCTTTGTTGAAATATTTGATTAGATTGGTTTGTATCTTAGTGGTTGTGTATCATGTTTGAAAGTAAAATCACCATTAGAAAATGTGTGTTATACTAAAAAATCACCGATATTGGTAAGAATATATAAATAAATATATTTTTCTTATTACGATTACTTAATTAGATGTTTACAGGAGATAATGAAGGTGAGCTTAGTTCACTAAACATAAGTTTTGTGTGTTCATGACTAGTATTTTTTGTGAAAGTATTTAACAAATGACATAATATAGAAATGATTATATTGATTTATTTTATTGATTTGATTTTGTTTTTCTATTAACATAGGTAATGTTTTTAAATGGGAACAAATGCAATCGAATCAAATTATGTATTCACAAGATCATTTACTTAAATTAGAAGGTAAAAAAGATATAAGTGCATATTTAATACAAGCTGTATCTTTGGGTGTTGCAAAAACTACACTAATTAAAAATGATACAGAAAATGTAAATGATAAAGAATTAATGATAAATCCAAAACCAGTCGCATCGACTAAACGTATCAAAACAGTCGATGAACGTTTACCAGCCTATTATGTACGTTCACGTTCTGCAGCAAAAATTAGTGAACGTGAACGTGGTGTCGGTGGTTATATATCACAATATGAACATTTAGAGAAAAAGAATGAACCGAAATCATCAAATCATATAGCAAGAACAGCATCGGGAAAATCAATACTTCGAATAATATTTATTGAAAAACTTGATTTAATTATAGCTGCTAGTGAAGATAAAGATATTTATGTATGGGGATTTGATTTAGAAGCATTACAAGCATTGAATACATTAAAAATTGAATCAGAAAATAAAAAAGAAGGTATTATTAAGATCTTTTTTTATTATTTAAACTTCTTAAATTTCAGATAGTGGAACTGCAAATCGTGCTGTTAGTTTTACATTACGTAACGTATTTCGAAATCATACAGAACCTGTTACTTCATTAACACTTGTTGATGATGTTGATTCTTTTGGTGCTGTATTTTTACTGAGTGCTGGATGGGATCGACGTATATGTGTTTGGGATTTAAATCATTTTGATCTTTTTACAGTTTATAGTGATCCAAATGCAACAAATGTTGAGACTGCTGAAACAGCATCAATGGGATATATTCATAATATGGATTATAGTCCACATTTAAAATATTTTGCTTATGCTGCTGGTAGTGATATGTGTGTTTATGTTCGAAAATTTTCACCAATAGGATCAGAAATGACACTTATGTATGAACTCCGTGCTGGAATTGATTCGGAAGTTACTTGTGTTAAATGGAATTTTATAACAAATGAATGGGTTACTGGAATGGATAATGGAGAATTTCGAATATGGGTATTTAATAGATAATATTATTTTAAAACTTCATTTTTATGTCTTTTCAGGGAATGGATGGAACATTACTTCAAGCAATTAATACTCGAGGAAGTATACATGCAATTGCTATTGATTATGTACAAAAAGCACTTTTAATTGCTAATCAAGATACATTAAAAATTTTTGATATGGATGAATATACATGTGTACAAACAAATGATGGACATACAGATGTCATTCGGTATAGAATTATAAAAACTACGAATTTCTTTGAATTTGATTGTTTTTTATTTTTATTTTAAAGAGATGTTTTATTTATCCCAGAACGTAATCAATATATAACTGTATCACTTGATTGTACAATGCGTATATGGAATGCTTGGTCACGTGATTCATTTCAAGAAACAGATATTGATCCTAAAAAGAAATTTTCTGATAATATTTGGGAAGATATTCGTAAATGTGTTAAAAATACAATTGAAGTTGAAGATCCAAATAGTATTATTGATAAATTTTTTCAAAAACGATATGAACAAAATCCTTCATCATTTCATGAGGATCATCAACAACCAGTACGACAAGTGTCTTTTATTAATCCATGAACAATTATTTCTTTTCTTTTTTATTTTACAAAAATCTCAGGCTAACGAATTTTCTTTTCTCTTTTCCAAATCACTTATATTTGTGTCGTGCGGTGCACTTTAAACAGAAAATCATTTTTTTTTATAGATTAAGAATATGTCTAATGCTCATTATGAAGCAGTTCGTTTTTCAGCTGACCGTCCATATACAACAGGTGGCTCGAGAAGACCTCTATTACCTATTCGAATGAGACGAACACCTGTACCGCTTGATACAAAAGTTTCACATCGATTTTATCATCCAGAAGAAAAACTTGTTCAGCAAGTGACTCATGAACATATTCTTGGTAAGCAAGTAATATTTTATGTATATATAGACTAATTTAATTAACTATTAGCAAATATTAAACAAGTTTTAAGGTAAGATTGTTGTCTAAGTATCTCTTGTGATTGAATATGATTTCTATCCTTTATTCAATACTAAACTGAATTAACTATATCTATTATTCTATTAGACCTTGGTGGTCGTATATTAATACAAGTGGATATTAATAATGAACGTCGAATACAACAAACTTATCAACAATTAGTTGCAGCTGAACGATTAAGATTAGAAAATGAATATCGATTAAAAACGGAAGAATTAATGCGACGATGGCAAGAACAATTAGATGAAGAAAAACTTCGATTAAAAAAGGAATATGATGAGATTTTAGCTGAACTTGAACGTATACGTGAAGCAAAAACTCGTGCTGAGATAGAAGCATTAATAAAACGAATGAGAGAAGAAGCTGAACAAGCATTAGCAAGACAATGGAAATTAGCTCAGGAACAACTTGCTCTAGTATGAATTAAAATAAAATTAATTTTTTAGACAATTATTTTTTTTTTCACTAGGCAGTTAAACAAGCAGAAGATCGATTACGTTCACTACTTGAACTTGAATTTCTTGAAGAAAAAGAACGATTTGCACGAGAATTAATTGCAAAAAAAGATGTAGGAATATTTATAAAAATTTCAAAATAGTGTAATGTTTCTCATAGGCTGAATATGCTGAACGAGAATTAAAAGCTTTAGAAAAACTGAGAAATGAATTGACAAAAGAACATGATCAAAATGTAGAAACTATTAGACAACGACATGCAGAAGAAGTTACAGAATTAAAAAACAAGTTCGAATATTCATATTTGATATTTCAACTAAATTTCAAAATATTATTTTAGATTAAGATTAGCTGAAGAACGATATCGTCGAGAATTCTCAACACGTGCTCGACTTGAAAGTGATTTTCGTGTATGTATTTTAACATACTATAAATGATTATATATTCATCGGTTTTTTATTTTGTTATTTAGTTACTTCAAACTGATTATAAACGTTTTATGGATAATAGTGATGTTTTTCATTCCGATTATATGCTTAAACTCTACCATATTGGTGAACAAGTTGGTGATGCAAAATTTGAAAAAGTACTTGATCGAATATTAACTGAATCGAATATTCAACTTATTCCAGCTAAAGCAATTAAAGCTCAAATTCGTAAACCGAAACAATCATTAAAATAATATGATACATTTTGAGTGATATTTGAACAGTCTTGAAGTTGTAACTATTCTATTATTTATAGATATCTTTTCCATATTCTCAAAACACAAACTTGTCTTTCTCTGATTTATTTTATTAATAAATCGATACATTTTTGTAGCCTACAATTTGTTTACGAAAATAATTCTTTAACTTTTTTTATTTCCTTTTCTGAAAGAAAGGATTATATGGAGGGTGGGTGTGAGTGTGGATCTGGGTGCTACTTCTCTAACGATACTCACACCCACCCACACCCTATCTTGTAAAATATTTTGTTATGTCTCTATTTGTAATAATAATATACTATATAATTATATTGGAATATCTAAAAAAGAAAAATGTAAATTTAAATGAGTCATTGTAAAGAATAGATCATATGAATCATCAATAAACAAATGAAGACTATATTCGAATTAAATCAACATTATATTTGAAAAAAAGCAATGTTTAAAACTAAAATAATTTCTTTGTTCTATATTATGACATCATCAATAATACTGTAGTAACAATTTTCATATCAGAGATTATTATTAATCTAATTGGTAAAAATATTCATAAACATAGATATGCAATTCTCTTGATGGTGAACAAGTAACAAAAACTGTTTAGATATCTGAGATAATTCTTATCGATTTAATTGATAAATTAAAATGGTAATGTTCATTTTGTTTCATTATAATTCTAAAGATGAAAAGTTTTGTCACTTTTTAGATCATTATATTTATATGAATCAATTCAAAGAAAAGCAAAGAAATACTTGATTGATATTCAACTATTCATAGATTTGAAACTGATTTCATACCAGATAAAAAAATTTTCATCGACAGATTTCTTTTATTCAAATAGTTTTTGTTTACAAATCAACAAAACTTTCCTTCATTATATCATTAGGTGTTAGTAAAGTAATTAACATCTACTTTCAAATTCCACAACAATATTTTGTCAGTATTGACAAGGCCTTGTCGTGAAGATATTTCTCTGTGTGACCCGCATATGAAAACACATAGACAATTAATCACAATAATTGATAAGCTTTCTTTTGATAATTTTATAAGAAAAAAGTGTTGCTCTGGCAGACTAGTGTCACCACCAATCCGCACAATTTCGTCATCGCAACATGTATTTGATCGGGTGGGATCATTTACCTCTTGGTAAGTTTGTAATAAGCAACTTTTCTCGATCGTCTACAGAGCACGACCTCTACTTTGTCTTTACACGTTTCATTCTTTCTTTTCTGTCTCTTACCATGATATATATAAAGACAAAGTAGATATCGAGCTTTGAAAGGTGTTGAAAAAAGTTGCTTATTACAACTTACCAAGAGGTAAAGATCTTTCTCGATCAAATACATGTTGCGATGACGAAATCGTGCGGACTGGTGGTAACACTAATCTGCCAGAGCAACATTTTTCTATAAATTAAAAATAAAGAAAAAAAATGTCTATATAACTTTTCGTATTCAATTTGATCGATCTAAAATATTTTACTTTAATTGATCACATGATATTGACAAAAATCGTAAAGAAATCTTTATCATCTATGACTCATACTGAATGATGTGGAAATTCTCGAAAAAGAATAGCTGATTCTCTTTCTCTTTCTTGTATCAAAAAACGAAATGTGTGTAGACACAGGAAAGAAAAGAAACTTGAATTTGAATGTTTAGTTATCGCTTCTCGGCCTTTTCGGCTAAGATCAAAGTGTAGTATCTGTTCTCGTCGGTTTGAAAGCCGGCGCTGGTCTCATTGAGGCCAGGCTCTTTCAAGCGGATTTTTGGACATCGGCCAGGATCACCCGAGTTCACTCGGACCTGTGCCACGGATCATCTCGACACTGCAGTGCCGTTGAGTTTGGTCCACTCCCGTTTCCTTCGGGATACGGGAATCTTAATAAAAATTTAAAAATGAAAATATAAAATATCTTCTACAAACCAACCAAAGAAATGGTTTCTGATCTTGTCTTTTATGTTAGTCATTTCACTTCTGTCTCGTTATATCTAATTATTACTCAAATTTTAATCAGTTCATATACAGAAGCAATTCTACCACAATTTATTGTTTCTTTTTTGTTTTCATCGTTGTACTCTAAGAAACTGGAAGATGAGTAAAAGAGAATATGATTTATGAAAGATCAACATTCAGTCACTGTTTTACTTTATATCATAAATATTTCTTGAGGGTGTGGGTATGTATTTAAGCTATTTCGTATCTACACCCACACCATCAAGATGTGTCTTAAACACATCAGATCTTTATCAGCTCCACTGATAAAAATCTTTATATTTTAATATAACAAATAGTGTTTAACTGAATCGATCGCAACGAAAACTTCGTTTTCATTATTAGTTGCTAAATGAAAGAATATGAACAAGATTTAGAAATATATTCGAAAATATAAGTCAACAATATGACAATCAACGAACTGTTTTTTTCTTATGAACTGTTCGAAGGCGTACACGAAACAATGATTACGAGTTTAATCACTGATTGTACAGCTTAACCATATTGATAATATCATATGTATATGTTATGCGGGTCTGATATATAATTTTTGAAAATAAGACATAAATTTCAATAACAGATTCGCCGTTGCCAAGTTTTCAATGATTCTTTTAGTGTTTTTAGGTACAATTCCGATGGAACGACAAATACAACGAAAACAAGTATTGAAGGAGTAAATGAAATGAAATAAGCAAGAAGATATAACCAAGGTTTATCAGATACCTTCACACATCCAGATAATAATGAAATGATCAAACGTGGCATTGATAGAACAAGTAGAATTGCTGGACTAATCACTAATTGTTTATGTTCACGTAATTGTTCACGAATATGTGCAATATAATTCTGATTCGTCTGAGCTAATGACCGTTGTCGAGCAGTTCCGAAAATAATGAATAAAGCAGAAAAGAGATTAGCAATAAATGGACCAATTAGATGAATGAAAAGAATAGCTGTATTGTAATCTTGTACAGCAGAAGAATAATTAATGACACACCATCTATGTATTTCTATTATTTTCGTGTCACCAAATGTGTCTTTTTCTTGTACTGGATATTCGAAGATATTGCGATGTAAAGGTTCGTGAATGATTGTAGCAATGATACAAAATGGTAAAATAAATATAATCCATCGAGCCAGACGTTTACTCTTTTCTTTATTAAAACTAATACCTTGATAAACATTAATTGCTCGTTCAATAGCAACACAAGCATTAAGCCATGTATCAAAGTAAAGAAAAAGTTTCAGGATAGGTTCAATAGAAATACATCCACCTCGACGAACAGATAAATTAATTGATGAATTCGTTTGAGTGAGAAGAATAAACCAGAAATTGATTGTAAACATAGAAATTGTGAGAAAAGAAGTTATTGAAGATGCTAAAAGATACATTCCACATCCAACTTTTCTTAAATTTTCATTTTGAAATGTTAAAAGTGATAAAATACTATTGATTAAACCCAAAAGAAACATAATCATTGTTAAAGCAACACTTATTTTCACTAATAATGATTGATTCTTCAATGTCATATTTTTCTTAATTTCATAACGTAAAATGTCATCAAGAGTTATACCAATACCTTTGGTTTGACTATTACATGAACCACCAATAATACATTTATCAGGATTTACTAAGAAAATAAAACAAAGATTTGAACTTTGATCGACTAAAGCTAACTATTTTATCCGATACGTAAAAACAAGTTTGATAAAGATATTTAGACCATTTATAATTTGAAATTCATGAAAGTAGATCTTTGATCAGCTATTAGATAATATATGAAATATCAAGTAAAACTCTTTTAGAATAAGACAATTTTCATCATTAATGTGCTTTTTGTATATCAAAGATCTCTAACAAATCATTCATTCTTCAATTTGAAGAAAACATTTGTCAATTTTCGGTACTAAGTAATAAAATTTAACATCGTACTGAATACTGAGAAAGTCAATACTTTTTTATTAAGTGTATTTTTACAAGATATATATCATCTAGTGATTATAACAATTAAAAAACATCGATCAATAGATATTCAGCCTAACATTACATCAATATTTTAGAGATGCTGAAAGTCATTGAAGAATTCTTTGTCTTTGTTGAAAACTTTAACAAGTCAATAAACTAAACAAAGAATGAAACTTCGATAGTAAACTTACAGAAACGTTTTAATCGATGAGTATTTAGTGATTCTATATGGTGAAGCACTGTTTTCTTCTTTAGAACTCATGCGTTGAAGGATCGATTATCTATGTATATTTGCCATTTCCATCGACTTATCCTTATCTTGTGTTTTACTGTTGAGAATCAAAATAATTTCATTTTTTGATTAAGTTAATAAGAAATAATAGTAAAAGATTCATTTATTCTATACTATAATAGTGAAAGATGAATATAAAAACGAATGAAATTCTATGAAAAAATATCAACTTGTGGCGAAATACTTCTATTCTTGGTTATATGTAGTTTTACGTATATTTTGATTAACACAATGGATAATCATTAATCACAAAGGTTATTTCATCAATGTTTTTGTATTAGCTATCCTTATTAACTTGATATATCCTCGATAACAACAAATATAAATATACAGAATAACGAAGCTATATTCGAAACAACTCATAGTTAAATATTGTTTCGGATAGAGTCAATATTATGACAATAAGATGAGCTGCAGATATATCATTGAGCGTATTAATCGATTCTCTCTCGAAGTTCACTGATAAAGAGATCTAATTCGAAGTGAATGCAGGACAGTTTGAAAAAAACAGCCTAAAACTAGAAATATAAATAACGAGATATTGTGTCTAACTACATCGAAAACAGTCACTGAAAATATTTTTCTCGAAGTCGATATTTTCACAATATATTTTTAACCATTTCTGCATTTGCATCATACTAATAGTATCAATGTCGAATCATTTGAGAAGTGTCTTTTCGAAGATTATTCCCTGACTTCTCAAAATATCTCTATAACAATATGATAGTGTAGAATAGAAAGTAAGTCTGTCTGTGCTTCTTGGATTGTACACTACTGTACCAACCATACTTTTCGATCAGAGAGCCTGCAGAGAATCAATTCATGTCAAAAAGTTAAGAAGATGTGTGAGTTTTGCCAAAATTTCAAGAAATTTTTACTAAAATGTTCAAGTTCTGATGATAAACTTAGATAAAAACCTGACTTTTGAGTTATTATTATTAGTTATTTGACAGAATACATAATGAAAACACTCTTTGTCGTCTAAACCTTATAGCAAATGCATAGTCTAAGTGTTTTTTATTTGGCATCCTTCAGAAGATCATACAAAGACACTTTATGATAAAACTTTGCGCTTTCTGCACAATTTTAGTCCCTTTCCATCATATAAAATAATGAGGGAATATAGCACCAACTATGGCGAAAAAGTATGAATACTTACTAATACGTTTGACACTGGCGTTCGCTGGTCCAGACACAATGATTGAAAATGATCCTGTCACATCTGGTTTGATTGTTGTCACAACTAATATGTATTTAACATTGACTACAAGATTGACGGCGAGTCGAAAATTTTCAAGGATGCATCCCAAAATGTTTTTTGAGATTAAATTTACAGATGGATCGAATGGGTCGAAATTGCCCTTGTAGATATATCCGAATTTATAAATACTAGATTTACTTGCAATTATATATAATCCATTGGTGACTACATCGATTTGTATAGTTTCATAGTAAAAGTTTTTTTTGTTACAGATACGAGAATACTTTTGACTATTTGCTGTTAGCTTTGATGAATACACCGATTGAACAACTGATGAAGTATCTAGTTAACAAAAAACAGATTTATCAGTATTCTATTCGTAGTACATGTAGATGAATTTGAATACTTTTTCAATGTCGTTTTTTTCAAATATATATCTACAGAGTGAAGATTTGGGACAAAGATCTATCTAATACGTTCAGCAAGAAAACAGAAGGAAATCATAACGATTATTTCATAATCATTTCGACAGAGAAAGTTGATTATATTGTTCCAATTTTGTTTATTTTAAGATAATTCATGAATATTGCAGTATTCATATTTCTGATGGAATAAATGCAGAAAATGTTAAAATTACGGTTTTATATTGAAATATAGTGAAGAAACTTTGATAAAAGATATTATCGATGGTTGCCTCATTGAAATTTCATCTTTTGAGAAGATGTGTAGAACTTAATCGAACTTTTAATAGAAAAGATTTCACTTTAAAATCAGATATTACATCCAATCAATTAATCTTTTAATTTTATAAGAAACAGTTTCTTTTAAACTTCAAGTAATTCCTACTGATCTCGCTGACATCTTATATCTGTTGATTGTAATCAATTTTGGGACTGAAAGTTCGTGTTGGATACTATAAAAGGATGGATGTGGTATGGAATCTGAAAAAATTTTACAAACTTCTAATAAAAACGAAAGCTGTTTCAGATATTTTGTTATTTAAGAAAGGCTCAAAAGATTTTCCGCTTTGTTCGAATAAACAAAATAAAATTTGAATTTTCTAAATATCATTTATGTGTAGTGTATTGACACTGAATTTTGAACAATGATCCTTGTAAATATTAACCTCTAATTGTTTCGGTAGTGAGTTTTTGAAGATTTTTAGTGAATTCAGAAATCCGATTGAGTTTAACATACGTTTTTTGACTTTTCTCTTTTTGAGACTGACTTTTACTAATAGTATAAGTACTCACTTAGACGTTCGAGAGTTATGTTGCTGACACCAGATACAATGATTGAGAATGATCCTGTCACGTTTGGATTCCTGGTTGTCACAATCAAGATGTATTTAGTACTGATCTCAAGGTAAACTGAGAAGCTGAACTGATTGTTAAGGCAGCTGTTGTCGTCTGTTGAGATCAAATTTTTTGATGTATCGGATGGATTGAAATCATCTCTGTACATAGTAATAAGTATATCGATACTGCTGTTGCTAGCAAAAGTATAATAGCCACTCTCATTTACATTTACTTGTATCGCTTCATAATAGGTTGAATGATCGCAGCCAGTATTCGAATACATTGGATGATATTCTGTGAATACTGATGAGTAAATCGAATGAACGACCGATGAAGTATCTATTCAATAAAAAACAATCAGATGAAAATTCGTAACATATTATTAAACTTATACAAATTTTTATCTAGTTTTTTGTTCGAATATATGTACTTAAAGTGCATATTCCATGATGAAGCTGTAATAGTTATCTTGTATGACTTTTATGAATGAAAGGGTATGGGTGAGGGTGTGGTTGTTATTAGAGCGCTACACTCTCATCCACACCCTTCTTTCTCTTGATTAAAATTCTGTATTTTTGATATTTATTAACTCACAAATCTATGCGAAAATTTGTTACAAAAACAATAAATAAAATGATTTCTTTGTGTGAACGTATCGAATTAAAATGTATCAACAACGTTCAATATGTTTTATTTTGAAAATATTTAGGAAGAAAATATGTGCATATCTAAACAAATAATGTATTTTAATCGTCAATTTATATCATCGTAATGTTTTCTCAACATTTCCAAGGTATTATAAAAATGTCGTCTTAACGAATTTGTTTTTGTTACGATGTCATTAGCAAAGCATCTTGACACGGTTACAGATATTCTGAATAAATAAAAAAATTTAGTCAGACGAATTTGTGCTTAGTTTAAATAAAAAATATTTCACTTGAAATATGTATTATTTCGGCGGAACAGAATCGCGAAAACTAACTTTGATTTTTCTCAATGAGATCAATCATTTTATGTAAAGGTCTGATATTATTCTCATATATCGCTTTCGAAGAGTAATGAAAACAGAATTCTGTTTATGATCTCTTGATTATTTTCATGAAAGTCGGTTAAATCCTTATCTTTTTTCAAAAAGAATTTGTGTTGTCAACTGTGAAATATTTCATCATATCAACATTATGAAAAAAGTACCTCTTTCGACTCTATTTCAACTATTTTCGTTCTTCTCAATATCAAAGATCAAATCTTACACTAGAGAAAAAGGCGAATATCTGTTTTTCGAGTATTTTACAATGTTGAATGTTGTCTGATAACAGTTACTTAAGCTGAATTTCTTTCTTACAAGTATCACTATATGTAGCATTGAATAGAAGGCTCATCACACGAAGGACTCTCATGCTTAATCACTTCAGTTCCGCATACATATTAACTAATTACATATGAGAGAGTTACAATAACTGATGCTTGTTACATTATAATCATTATACGAATGTATCGATGATATGAGACAAACGATCGTTAATGATCTGTTCAAGATTATTTTATATCTGACCATATTAATACTCAAAGAGTATTTCAATAGCACATGTCGATCATTTTTAACTCACTCATAAGACCTTTTTCTATCCGACAGATGAGGAACTCTAACTACCAGCACTAGGTGTATTTTCACTTTTGTAGATGCGATAGTGAACAACAACTGTGAATCTATGATAATATTACTGTTATTTATTTATACCCACGTAATCTCAATATTTGAAAAGTTTTCGGCAAAGAATAAAATATCGAGAAGTTACTGTTGTCAAGTTTTAATAAGTACATTTTTCCGTTCATGTCGTCCTCTTCGTTCAAGTATTTTTGTAAAAGAGGATATTTAGCATATGAAAATTCTATTTTGAAACAGTGATCTTTGCCAATATTTTTTTCTATTCAACGCGGAACTTTTCAAGATTTCTGACGAATACAGAATTGATATTGAATATACGTAAATTTTCTACGCTTTGTACTTCTGCGCTGATGTTTATAAATAGTATAGACACTCACTTAGACGTTTGAAAGTGACATTATTGAAACCAGACACAATGATTGAGAATGTTCCTGTTACATTTGGGCTATACGTTGTCACAACCAGTTTATTCGTAGTGGTGGACCGAAGAAAGGGTCTCATCGGAAACTGAAGTTCAACGAATCTCTTATCACTCTCCGGAATTAAATTTATATATGGACCAGATGGATAAAAATTTCCTGCGTATATGTAGCCTAATGTATCGTTAGTGCTGTTAATATTAAGAGTATAATAGCGACTTTCATTGACATTCATTTGTATGGCTTCATAATAGTAGTTTGGAACATCACAACCGGTAGGAGAATATGTTGGATGATTTTCTGTTAATACAGATGAATACACTGATTGAACACTTGATGAATTATCTATTTAACAAAAACAAATCAATCAAAATTTATGAAATATTAAATAAATTTCAATGATTTTTATTATTTTTTTTCTTTTCGATATATCCTCCGGTGCGTGGCTGTTCGTATATAAATAATCATTATTATTTGCATACTGCTTTTACTGGTCAAAAAAACAGGTTACGTAATCATTCAACATTACCTATAATCGAGACTATCGGATACAATTTGTCTTTCTTCCTCATAGTAAAATATAATATAAATCTTGGTGTGGGCGTGAGTGTACTGGCTGGAATATGAATATGCTATTCACTAGTGGGTGCGGGTTCCTTCTTTGCTTACGTAAGCAGACATTCACACTCACACTCACACCCACACCCCACCCTCAAATGAATTTTTCTGTTATTGAATTATTTTAAACTTACCACAAGAACTTAATAAGAAATCAAATTTTTGAATGCGATGATTGGACTTATCAATAATAAATACGTTTCCGTAACTATCGAAACTAGGACTCATTGGAAAGGATAATTGATGAGATTCCGATCCTACCCAATAACATCCAATTATACATCGAATATCATTTGGTCCTGATCGAATTATACGATGATTATGTTGATCGACAATAAAAAGATATTTATCAGCATCTAATACAATTCCAGATGGACATGTGAGTGAAATAGTGTTATTTGATGATTCTTGTCCAACTATTGTTGTTCCATTTAATTCTCCAGATTTAAATAATTGTATTCGGTGATTACCACAATCTGCCACATATAAATCAAAGTCTAAATCAACAAAGATTCCCATAGGATCCTGAAGTTCATTTGAATCAGATCCTTGAATACCTGTTCCAGCTGCAGTTGTTAATATCATTTCACTATCATTTAACCATCTTTTGATAACTTTATGATCATCATTCATTGAACAATATAAAGTATCATTAATATCGATAAAGATACCAAAACATGATGAATTAACATTCATGACATTAACAAAAGTATCTGTATTTGATATCCATTTATCGACTCGACTATTCTCATAACCATTATCATAATAAATATCACCATTATTTGTAACGAAGATAGAGAAAGATTCTCCTAGTTTATCAGGAGTAATTTTATTTGGACTGATACTATTGTTAATCCACGTTAAGATTTCTTTCTTGTCGTTATTAACTGTATAAACTGTGTTGTTTGTATTGATAAAAAGAGAGGCAGTATCTTCCCCAAGTGTTGTTTCGTTAGCAAAAGTAATTCCATAAGGATTCCATTCTGCTGTTGGACAAAACTTTGGTTGATTGAATGAAAGTGCTAAAATGAAAAGTTTCAGATAAAAATTTTCTCCAAATAATTTGCCTCTTCAAACACATATTGTTCGTTAAATGTTCCTTTTATTTAAAATAATTCATTTACAAAACATTGTCAGTTTGACTTAGACATCAAAATAATTAATATTTTAGAAAAAATTTGATTTCATCAAACAAAAAATTCTCATTTGACAGCTTTATAGAATATTTTGTTACATTTTCTATTTTCATCTTTGTTAAATCGAATCAATTGCTCATCTATTAGAAAAATTCAAGAGAATAACGTTTGATTATTCTCTTGGAAATCAATCATTAATTAATATAAATCTTAAAGCTAATTTTACAATGAGTTTATGAATAAAATACACTCTTCTCATTTAACATCAAAATATGCACATCATGAATTCTATTAGATGTTTCTAGTTTTCCTCTCCTTAAACGTTTTACAACTATATTCTTATTGTTGTACCTTTATCAATATACTTCAATGTCTAATCATCTATACTTCTATACTTGTCACACTAACTTTAATCTAAATCTATATTTGTGTATCTCTATACTAATCACTATGATCTTTTTAAAGAGAATGGGTGTGGGTACGAATAAAATAGAATACTCACACCCACACCTTCAAATTATGTTACTTACTAATAGATATAAGGCTTTTATATACAAACTTAATATAATTCTTATCATTATTTATTCTATTCAGCGCTTATTAATACATTTATCAAGCGAAGTTTTATTGTATAACAAAACACGATTTCATTAAATATCTTTCAAACTCATAGGTGAACCACATTTCTTCTTATTATTCTTTGCTTACTTATGTCTTTAATTAGCACATTTGATGTATCTTAAAACAATCTAAACGACTATTTCGTAGAAAGTAAGTTATAACTAGATTTTACTTATCACTAGATACTATTGAATGCAAATTTCGAAAAATCATATCAAACTATCAGAGAGATTAGAGCTATAATTCGAGTCTAATCGACAGACTATCTCGATGTAAACAAAATGCTTCATTTGATGAAATTTTACTGATCGAATGGATTCTTCTCAATCATATTTATTCAATAGTTTTTATGAAAATCTAAGAACAGATCAATTAACTCTCTTAAGTCTAATTCATATCATTTTAAGTTAAAAAAACAATAATCATTACCTGATATTTCATTAATCATAACCAACAACAACATGATGAAAATGTTGAAAATGTTCTTCGTCATCATATCAAACAACATTTTTTGTTTAATATTTACCAATGATCAAGAAAACTGAAACTGTTGTAATCAAATAGACAACTAATATTCTTGTTGGAGAAAAACAAGTGAAACTATTTCTTCATTTCTTTATTATTTATATCTCTTTTTTTTCTCTTCTCATGATCAACAACATCATCTAGAGAAACAATGACATATTTCGAGAGACGATTCTTTATTGATAATTTTGATTATTATTGCTTAGATTTAATTAATAACTCGTCACATGATTTTATTTTGAATCTGATGGGATTTTACTTTGAAATAGAAAGCATCATTATAAATTCAGTTATTTAACAATGAATTTCATTTGAAAATATCTTTTTTTTTTTAGATAAAAGACGTGATAAAAAAAGAATAATTCTAGCTAGACATTGTGTTGATATTCAGACGTGATTAAAATCAAAATCAAATATCAATTTCCATGATAAATATATGATTAACATCAGTCAAATATATTATCTAAATAATTCATTTAGTCAGGACTTTATTTTATCACGTTCTTTTATGTTGTTTTTATTCGATGAACGCCATCAACTTGTTACCTAGATGAGATGTTTTTAAATAATATCTATTCTTTCTGATTAAATATGAATAAAAGAGTTTTTCAAATTTTATTTGTTACATTAATATTGGAAAAAGATGCAAATAATCTCCAGTAGATATTTAAGAATGATTGTATACGTATTAGAGATGTTTAGTCATCATAATGAAAGATGTTGTGTTTTTTTGCAAGAATTGTTAAAATAAATCAACTAATATATTCAATAGTTTAATACTAATGAATAATGTTCAAAATGTAATTAATATCTATAATATTTACATATAATAGAAGAAGAATATATCAATCGACAAATAAAAGCATTATTTTTTTTAACTAAAAGTCATGAATAAATATTCTTTTTCTATTTGATTGTTTCAGTGTGAGAAGAACAACATTCTTCTGTTAAATAATAGATGATCATATTAGTTTCATAGTGCATTGGTACAAGTATTCAAACGTTATCCGATTAGCATTGAGTATCATAGAACTCTAATCAAGTCAGTATTGATTAAATACAAACTGTATTTCTCGTTTAAACCAAAGTTGATAATTGATTTATTCTATTGAAATCATCTAACATGAAAAAATAGAATAGTAAAATCTAGTCATATGCTTTTCAAAGTACTCTTTCATTAATTGTTGTTTTTCATTATCTGGAATTTTTTTATAAAAAGAGAACATATTTACAATATCTATTTTTACTGACTAGAAGTATTACTTTATCTTTTTTTTTATAAAGAATAAAGATAATCTTTATCCTTATAAAATAAAGATAAACTTCTTCTTTATTTTCTTAGAGTACCTCACAAAAAATTATGATACTATGTAGCTAACTAGAATATGGAATAGCATTTTTCGTATATAATATGTCTTGTATGATCTTTTTTTTTATGATACGGCATATGGAAACGATGATGATGATGATAATAAAGAACCTTAATAAACGTATGCTGTTGTTAAATAGGGTATTTGCATACGTACTTATTGCATGAAAAAGTATATTTTTATTCTTTATTTTAACTTTATTATTATTTATGAAGTAAAGATAAAGTAACATTACTATTACTGACAGAAGAATAGTAAATAAAAAGAAGTTCAGACGAGATATATCCTTCTCATAAACAGACGAGTATTGGATTTTCCCTTTGTACATCAAAAACTAAACGAACGAAATTCAATTGACTGTATGTCCTTTATATATTGATATAATTGTAAAATACAGTGACATGTGAAATATATAAAATATTTTATTATTATTATTATTTAGGTCTGCACCGGTAACAATTAATCGGGTGTCAGTAGCACTAGATAAATATTTGAGTTAACTTGAATATAGGTGTCTGACTCCAACTTGATTTTGCGTATCAATGGACATGAAATAAATAGTATATCTACGCTCAACTCAACAGTCATAAACCCATATATAAGATAAGCTAAATATATATCATCTATTCAGAATTTTTACTTATTTACGTTTATGGATTTAGAATAAATAAAGATTGATCTAAAGCTATAAAAAATTAATTATAGTTCTTCAAAATCTCATTGCGTGACACATAAGATATCAATCATTCATTCAATTATATCTTTATTTAATTAAAAAAATTGTAACATAAAACACAAATATATTCTTATTTTTCTATAAACTGAAAGTTCATACTACATTGAAATATGTATGTATAAAATATTCAAACATTATTAATTATTTTTGATAAATGTCTATAGTTTTTGTTTGATTTATAGGTGAAAGTAAATATTGTTCATTATTATTTGTTTCACTCATTTTTATTGATTTAGTTGACTTTTGATTCGATTTACAAGTAATCAGTTGGATAAAACCATTTCGAAATGTAGTTGATATTGTAAGATGAATATAAAACTTATTAGAATAAGTAATTGATGAGAGTGTTAAAAACAAATTAGGCAAAATTCTATAAAACTTCCATCGTATTGAACAGTACATAGTATTATAAAAGAATCGATCATGTACAATATAGATTTCTAAAATACATCCAGGTAATATAGATAAAAATAAACCAAGTGAAAACACGAAAAGTAATATTGAATGTCTGTGCATACGACGAGCATTTGCACTGAAATTATTTTTATACATTCGTTTATGTTTACATCGATTATGTAATAAAATGGCTGAACATATACATACAATTAATGATGGAATACCTACAAGAAGTATTGCATGTATAAATGACCATCGACGTATTCTTCGATAATAAAGAGATGGATTAAAATCACAAAGAAAAAGTGTGACTCGTGGTTCGTAATAAAAATAAAAATGATGAGGAATTGATAGTAAAATAATTATAAAAGTAACTAATACAATACGTAATATAACATGAGATCGTGTAACTATTGAACGATAACGAGTTGGATAAATAATTATTATACTTTGATCAATAAAATATGATGCTAAATAAAGATGTGATAATGTTGTTGAACCAATTATAATACTATAAAAAATTCCACATGATATTATTTCTCGAGGATCAGTTTTAATAAGTGACATCCTTACACACCATAACCAAAATAAACCTATTAGAATAGAAATCAGATTACTATTAAATTAATTATGATTTTCTAACTTAAATATCATCCAATCAAAAAAATTCATTATAATGAGAATTCTTTTTTTTGTTTGTAAATGTCGACTTATTCTTTAACTAGACTAATTACAATTTCAAACTTGAGATCTTCTATCTAAGACAAAAACTCATGCAAACCTAGAAGAAAGACTATTTCAACTACTGAAATAGCAATAGAATACAATGAAGTTGGTTCTTTTCGACTAGTTTTATTCAATGAAATAATTATTTGTAAAATATGACCAGGTATACCAAATAAAACACCAATAAAACCAACTACATGCCATATACTATTGGATATATGAAATAATCTATCATAAGTAACATTACTAACACACATTTCTAATGTTGTATTATTATTATTTATCATCATTTTATTGATTAATACTATATGATAAGAAATGTCACAATGGAAATCAAAGAAAATAAGAATGTATTTGCATACGTTAGTCAATGTAAATTATATAAAGATAGTAGCGGAAAAACGAGACTATAAAGAAAAATAAGTTTTTTTTTTCTGTCTTGGTAATATGAAGTACATTTATAAGAAGAGATTTCTCGATGATTATTTCACATGAATTAACTTGAAGAAAAGAAAACGAGAATTTTTTTGTTATTTCTGTCATGAATCAACAATTAGTTAAATATAGAATAAAATACTTACCATTTTCTTCACAATATATAAACTAATACATTGATACCAAAACTAATTGTCTGAGGGACATTGGCATGTTTTTGATATGGAGTTAAATATATACATTACACTTAAACACGATAAGAAAAATTAATGATCAAGATATATCTGTTGAATGACTTACGCACAGGGCCAACTTCAATTAATAATAAGAGAATTAAAAATATAATGAGAGTAATTATGGCACAATTTACTAAAAATAAAATTAACTATAATCGACATACACAGCGTCCTTGCGATTTACCATGAATACGTGGGTGTGGGTCAGGATGTGACTAAATAATGATAAACACCCACACTCTCAAGATAGTATTACAATCATAGGTTTAATAAATGAATGAATAAGAAGAAAAAAACATTGAATAAGTAATTTGAGTTATTTATGTGTAATTTAAATATTTATTTAATATCATTTTTCGTCTGTGTTTTTTTTAAGAAGCACGTTTCATTAAATTCGTTAAATAGGAATATATCCAATAAAGTAAAGTGATTCATATTTTAAAATGTTTTCTATTGAAAAGGAAGTGTTTGGGGATAAATCTTTTATCAAACAGATTATTCAGTATTATGGCATGATTAAAGGGAATCTCACCATTGTTTGGATTTTACACAGATTTGTCCAAAGTCTCTAATTACCGTTGTTTATTTCCAAAATCGAAATATTCTTGAATATAAACTATGTTACACGCCGAAACATTAAAAATTTTATCAACTGTTACATACGTACTGCAGTATTCAATTACAAGTAACTATCCGATCGATTTTGTATAACATTTAGGTAAGCATTTTTTTACAGTATTCAAAATAGAGATAACAAGGATACTGCCACCGATCAGGGATCCTCATGGGATGGGATGGGATGAACTCTCGTTCCCACGGGATGGGATGGGATGAGTGTTGCCTCCCATGGGATATATGATTTCTTTTTTTTAAGAAAAATATTATTTCGAATAGAAGTTGCATTTGACAAGCGGTAGACATAAGTATTATATTCGTCGCTTTTCTGTATTGATTAATAATTTTTACTCTAAACATTATCAAACAGATAAAAAAAGGAATGATAAAATTAGAAATCAGAAAAGGAAATCTAAATATTATTAGATCAATAGTATAAAATATTTTATTGTCTTTCGTTATGATATTTACTCAATATTATTTGTCGTTGGATTTCATTTGTATTTTTGTACTTATGTATATGATTAATCTTTTTTGTTGATAAGCGGAGCTTTTGTTTGATTTTATTAGGGAGAGGAGAAGGCAGAAACCAGAGAGAAAGTCTCCCGAAACCAGGTAGAAAATCTTAAGATCAGAGAGAAATGATCTACATGTCATAAGAACTTTCCTCTTTGCGAGAAAACGGCTAATTCTCCTTGAAAACTATTGTGAAAGCCTTTTTCTACACCTAAAACAATTGATTTTAGTCAATTCTTCAAAATCTCTTTCTCTTTTGAAGGAAGTTTTTTCTTTTGCATGAATCCTTTAAATTAGTGCTATAAAGAATACCAAAAAGTAGTCAATAAAGAATTTTAGGGGAAAAACTATAGAAGAACAAAAAATTAAGTGGGTAAATATTTCCCTGCTTCCCACCCTAATCGTATGGTCTGTTGATAATAGTATTGCTATTTTGTATTTTCTTATTTTTTTTGTCTTTTGAGAAAGTACTATTGTATAGAGAAAAGTATTGAAGTAACTTTTATTTTATATTTATAAAAAATAGATTATCATAAAGAATGTATCATAAATGTAAATGATTATTTGATTTAATCAAACATATTGCAGAATTAAATTTAATTTTCAATAGAGTTTTATTACAGTGTGACATATCCCATGGGATCCCATGGGATGGGATGGGACTGGTCATGATTCCCATCGGATGGGATGGGATGAATATTGTTTTTCAGAGGATCCCATGGGATGGGATGGGATAAGTCGCATCGTCCCGTGGTACGAAAAGTCCGTCCCATTCCATCGCATGAGGATCCCTGCCACCGATATATCGTGTAATTTGTCTTCGTTTAGAAAATCAAAAATGCAATATAAATCACTGATTTTTATTTTGTTTTTACTTACATTATTGACAATCAGTCAAGCAAATGAATCATTTAATATTCCATTGGATAATCATTGTAAGAACTTATCTACTTAAATGAAAAAAAGTAACGCATTACATTCTCGTATGTTCTTTTTCCTAGTAGTGAATCATATTGAAGTAGTTAAGCATGAACCTCGTAGTTTGGGTTGTAATGGAGTAAATGATCAAAACGTATATAAATGTCGAATGCATTGTCGAAGTCGAAAATTTAAAAATGGTCGATGTAGTAAATTATCAAATTATATGCATTGTGTGTGTTATACATCACTAAATCCAAAAGCATAACATCTTTAAGAATATTATACTCAAGATATATATATTAACTTTGTTATATTTATTTTTCGTTAAAACTTTATTCAAGAATATCTAATATATCAGTTACAAAATATTTTTACATGAATCATTATATTTCTTTTCGTACGATGGATAACGGTATGGATATAGGATAAAAATTTCACTTGAACAGAAATCTATGACACTAAAGAGAACAGTAAAATGAAAACGATATTGACAGAAAGAAAGCAAAAAAGACTGTTGATTTTAAAGGTTAAATTAAGAAAAAATACTTCTCCTTTTATTATATGTGCACGCTCGACACTCTTTTGAAGTATATGACTCACTTGAATTTGAAATCATTTTTATTTCTTCTTCTACTGTCAATATTATCTGACAGATATCGATATGTTTTTGAGTAAAGTGACGCAAATTTGATATCATTTTACTTTGTAATATACCTGATATTGTATAGTCTATGTAAAATGAGAGAGAACTGTCTGCCAAAAGGTTATTTTATGCACAGTCAATATAAAACAAACAGCTCTCTTTTCACGTATATATCAACTCAGCAAAGTATCGGATCAGTTTTTAATAGATATCTTGAGAGAGTAGGTTAGAGTTAAGTGTGCGCATAAGGATAGTATAACACCCACACCCTCAGTTCACGAAAAAGCCCTAGCAATTCGACAACAATCACTGCCTTCCAATCATCCTGATTTAGGTGGTTCCCATAATAACATCGGTAATGTGTATAGACACATGGGTGACTATTCAAAAGCACTTTCATCTCATGAAAAAGCCCTAGAAAGTCGACAGCAGTCACTTCCTTCTAGTCATCCTGCTATGGTCAGTTCCTATAACAACATCGGAATTGTGTATGATATCATGGGTGATTATGCAAAAGCTCATTCATTTTATGAGCGTGCTGTACAAATTGGACAACAATCATTACCAATAAATCATCTTAATCTTCAAACATGGAGAAAAAACCTCGAGCACATAAACAAGAAATTATAATTTGTTTCTGTTTTTTTTTGAAAGTAAAATAAAGCTGCTGGAAAAGAAAATGTGTCTTTATTGAAACTCTGTTCTTGCTGAGAACATAATAGGAGCAGTAACACTCAGCGGTAAGGTAAACGATATATATTGAAAAGTTATATATGTACATATATTATATTTGTATCAACATTAAATAATATATGAAAAAATTTCTATCATTTTAAAATATTGAAATTATGCTTCTCAAACAACATCAATAATGAGTCATATTTTAAACGAAGATCAGTATATGCAACTAAGATATGTGTAGGCTGATACAAATGAATAATTCTTTTTTTTCTTCTTTAGATATATGATACAGAACATTGAGAATCTTAAATGACTACTACAGTAGTTAGATTTCAAAGTTAATGAGCTTCTTAATTTTCAAAAAGATTTCAATATTTTGTAAGTATTCTTTGGATATTATACAAAAAAAAGACAAACCAATTATGAATAGCTTTTATATAAATACTCCATATTTTACCTTGTAATCCGTCATAAAGTAAAGATAACGAAAAGTGATATTTTATATGAGTCATGTTGACTCTTATCGCTTAGTTACTATTGTAGTCATATATCACGATTATCGTCATTACTAATACGATATACAATATATATATATATATTCTACTACAATTTTATTTCATTTATTCATCACACAGAAAAATGTTCAAAAATAACGATTATACTGCGAATGCTGGTGTTGGAAATGGTTTTCCGCCAGCTTATTCACGTCATCAACATGCATGTCTGACACTAAATATGACGGATCGTCTAAGATTAATTCAATTTCCAACACCAATTATTGATATTATTCGTCAAACAATTCTCACTAGTTGGCGTCAAGGTATACAAAAAGAAAAAAACTATGCTGGTGCATATGAATTCAAATTCAAAGGTATGCCTTGGTATGGACAAGGAGCAGAAGCAGTAGAATCTCGATTTATGATGTATGTTTTATTTTTAATTATTTTAATCTTTATAAAAAATATTTTGTACATAGGATGTCAGTTCTTTCAACTTTGCATCATCAAGGATGGTATTTATTGATGTCAACTGATATTTCAAAAAAACAAGCAGATAAAGATTCATTAATTTTTCAACTCGGTACTCCTCCACCACCAACATCATTTTTTTCCGTGTCATTTAATGAATTAGATAAATTACGATTAATTGGTGCTCCACCTGAGCTCATACCAGCAGTTCAACAAATTATTGGTACAAGTGAAATTCAACGGGAAGAATGGGTTTATTCTCAAGCAGCTTATCAATTTAAATTGTACGTAATATTTCATTTTCAAAAGCTTTGTATAAGTAGTTTATATATATTTTTTTTTATATTCAGACGTGGTCATCCATGGCTAGGTAGTGGTGAAGAAGCTGTTACTAGTCGAATAAAACTGCTTAATTTACTCGATTGTTTTGCATCTTATGGTTGGCAATTACATGCAACTGTTGATATGAGTCTAGGTCATGATGGTAGTGAGACCGATACTTGGTTTTTTCGCAGAATCCAGCAATAATAGTTGCCATCGATTTGTATTATTTTTCTAATAATTTTTAATAAATATCAATTGTTAACTTTGTCATATGTATAATCCTATTTGAATTATAAATAGTTTTCTCGAATACATATGATAGTACAACTATACAACAAAACAACATATAGAAGAAAACAAGGAGATTTAAAATAATAATAGAATATTTAATTCGAATAATTTACCAGATAGATAAAATTAACTATTTAAAATAAATTTCGTGGATGTCTACTCTTTGTATTCACATCCCCACTCACACTCAAGGTTCATCAAATATCAAACTTTTAGAAAGTGCTTGATTTTATAAAAAGTAGAAATTCAATTGGATTTTCTGCTGAAAATCGAAACAAATATTGATCAACTCTCAGTCATATCTAAATATAGCCATATTCGCATGCGGATCGCGACAGTCTAGAGTCAAATGAATCAAGTTTCGATGAACGTTACTTGTTATCAAGTAGTAATAAAAAAAATCTATAAGAACGACAAACAACTACTAATATGAATAGTTTCTTCTGCATTTCATATATTTGACCATAGAAAGTAAGAAATATAAGTGTTTTGTGTCTGAATAGCAATATTTTGTCAATTTTTATAAATTATAATGTCTACGATAATATAACTATTTGCAACTTTTGAGTCTTCAATGATATGAGACATGAGAGCAGAAAGAAAACAACCCTAGACTGACATGTGTACAAAAACACTTAAGCAGTTCTTTTTTGTTTTCTACTTATTAATGAGGAATGTATATGTTGATCTCCGTTTGGTTTCATAATAAACATCTATAATTTTCAATGAAAAGGGCCTGGGCGTCAAATTAAGAAAAAAAAGAAAACAAAATCCAAATAGAAAGTAGAGACACTATAAAATGAGCTATTCTAATCATTCTCTTACTCGCAAAGTTTTTCAAGCTACTCAAATACAACATATTCTTAGTAAAAGTAGCAAATAATCAGAACCAATGGCAACTAGCAAATCAAGTGGTACAAAAAAAATTAACCTAGCATCTGGCGAAATTTATCAAGCTTTACTTAATGAAACAACGAATGACAGTGACAAGGCAAGTATTTATCATCAACGAGGTCGAATCAAATATTTTCAAGGCGAATATCGAGAAGTACTTTCTTATTATGAAAATGCTCTTGTAGTTCAACGACAATCACTTCCTTCCAACCATCCTGATTTGGGGGGTTCCTATAACAACATCGGTAATGTGTATAGACATATGGGTAATTATCCAAAAGCACTTTCTTATTATGAAAAAGCTCTTGTAGTTCAACGACAATCGCTTCCACCCAATCATCCTGATTTGGGTTCTTCCTATAATGATATAGGTAATGTGTATAGACACATGGATGACTATTCAAAAGCTCATTCATTTCATGAAAGTGCTGTACAAGTTGGACAGCAATTATTACCAGCAAATCATCTTAGCCTTCAAAAATGGAGACAAAACCTGGAACACACAAAAAAGAAATTATAACTTCTTTCTGTTTCTTTTTTTGATAGTAAAATAAAGCTGATAGAAAATAAAATGTGTCTTTATTGAAACTTTGTTCTTGTTGAGCGTGGATGTGGGTATGAAGGCAGGTGGATTTTCAGATGATACATACCGACACTCACAGTCTCAAGAGTAGCAACGGAAGTGAATAATCTAAGTTAGTAAGAATTCTTTGTATCCCTTTCAAATAATAATAATATTATTCACCTTAAAAGGATTTCTTCTCTGCTTGTAAGAGATAAGAACAAACCTTCATATACACGTCTGAGATAATGTTACATAGCAGAAAAAAACTTAAAAAATATGCATTCTCTCTTTCTGTTTTTCGATAACAAACAGTGCTTTTCTTTAGTCAACAAAGGTGCAAAAAAGCATCAAGCTTTTATAGTTCTTTTCACAAAATTAGATCGAGTGGGTGTGGGTATGTTAATAGATGTATTATAATTTACACCCACGCCCTCATTTTGCTCCTTCGATCTAAACTTACAAATTGTAAGTTACAATTTAAAACTGCACTGACTCAGTTCGCATGCTGCAATTTTTTACATACCAAAAACTGGGTGACTGTTAAGGGTGCGGATGGAGGTGGGTATAGGTGTGAGTGATGTTCGTATCCAACGCTCTCACCCACAGCCATACTATCCACACTCATATCCTACCCTGTGATATACAAACTAAAATATACACCATCCATTACTTTGCTAGCGTTGAGGAAACAGCGAAAATTTCTGTCAGCATACCCAAACAGCTGATTATGCTACTGTTTTAAAATGCTATATTTCGTCAAAAAGTTAATTTTATACAACAGTGTGGACGATGTTTTCATTGTATTCTTGAATTCAGATTAGAATAAAATGTGCAAAGTCGCTTGAAAGCATCCTTCAACAAAGTCGAAATCGGTCGTGGTATGCTCTTCGTCTAACTTGCGCCTCAGTTCCAAAATTCTACAGTTTGTTCAAACATTGCTTTTATACAACTGTGTAGATCATGTTTTAGTTTTATTTTTTAAATTAGAATCTGACTAAAGTACTTTGAGAATTAAATTACGTTATCACATCGAACTCATATTTGTGCTTATATATCGTTGAAATTTGTTTTGTAATCTCATATCTCTCTGTATTCATGATACATTACTGTAGTTATAATAATTCAGAACATACCTGATGATGACTATTTAAGCAATATTCGATATATGTCGTAAATATTTTAATTTAATCATTCCTTATTGATTATCTAGTCCACACTCACATCTCATACCTAAACTAACATCTATACTCACCCTCACTCACACCTAAATCCAGCACATCCATACCCACGCCCTCACAGCCACACTCCATATTTACACCCTCTTAATCTGGTTGAGACAATGACGATAGAATAGAACAATAGTTGATCTGTTCGATAGTTCGATTATAAAAGTCTTTTTATTTTGTGAGTTTCTCTTCAGCTGGAGAGAAGTAGACTTAACAATTATAGAATTATCAATAATTCTATAACGCATATGCTCTACTATACATTATCCTACTCAGCTTTAGAAGAACAACAACAACCTATCAGCAACACCAAAACGAATGCTGAGTAACACAGGGTCATAATGCTAGATGTGACCAATACAAGGATCGATATAACTTTGTCATACGAGGGCAGCATTGATATAGGTATCTCTTTACTGGCAAAAACAATTGTGGAGATACTTACTACGGGTAACATAATAATCAAAGAAACCAGCATCATAAAGTAGAACCAATATCGGTAGATTTTCGTGTAATGTTCCTCGAGTTGTTCTTCGACCACACTTAGATAATAACCGGAACTGGACATATTTTTCATTTCTTCTGAGGATATTCCTGAAGTAACCGTTTTTATGATTGACCGATTAGCATCATCTCCCACCCTATTGAAAACTAAACACATAAACAAGCCGACTGTTGTCAATATTTCGTAGTAAGTACTGTGGAACTGTGAGTCCGATCGGAGAAACAGAACCACAAATTGATTCAGACTGGTCATTATAAATGTGAATACGCTGAACAACAGTAATAGGATACGTTGACATACCGATGGTTTTTCATCTGCTCGACCGACCAGTATCATATTAATAATATGGAGTATCAACTGAAAACCAAGACAACTCAGAGTTACAATACCCATAGTGAAAGCCAGTGTTTTATCGACATTCGGATCAAACAAGTGAAATATGCTAACATATCCACAAAACTCAGCAATTTCGATCAGAAACGATAAAAGAATTTGTTTTCGTTTACTGATAATCAGCGAGTTCAATAATGATGCACCGCTGATTCCAAACAGAATAAAGAAAAGTTTACGCTCTTCCTCATCACTGGCGTTAGCCAGCTTACATAAAATCAAGACTGATAATTGTTCCCCAAAATTTGTTATATCTATCAGGATTGTGTTGAATTCGATAAAGTACTTCCGACAAGCGCCCATTTCTGTCGTTACTCTTGGAAATGAATTAAGTATACAAGTAACCTGCTACTCTCTTATCTTTGTAAATGTTGAGTGCTATTGTATCAGTGAGTTTGATTAACTTTACAGCATTTATTATATGGTAACAGAGAGAACAATAGGGTGTGAGGGCGTGGATGTGGATGTGGGTGTAGTTTGACTAGAGGGTGTAGGTATGAATCTTATAATCTTTTCTCCAACTATTTCATCTTCAACACCTACACCCACCCTTAAGATGACTTTTACTGTTCGTATTTTTGAGTTTCTCTTTTCTGTTGGTTTCTTATCACTTGAAGATTGTAAGTGACTGTGCATGTTTCTGTTGATGATTGATAAGAGACTTTTCGACGACGAAATATCAGGTTATCAGTGAAAATTTCCAACTATGTGTTGCGTTATAAAAGAAGGCATAGAATGAGTTTTTTATTTAAAATTTCCAAGTTGACTAGGGTGTCGAATAATTGAGGATTCTTGAGGGTGAGCGTAGGTGTGGGTGTGGGTGTGGATGAAGATGACACATCTACACTCACACTCTCAATGTAATTGACATTTATTATTACAATTTGTAACTATGATTAATCTTTTTGTAACATATAATCTTCAATAAGATATATGTGCTACTATAATCTAGCATAACTAGTTTATTTTGAAAACAATTTTTACAAAAAAAGAAATAAAAAAAGTATATTCATTCTTTTTCTAAAAACCGGGTTCATGATGAAAAGCAAATTCTATATCATCACAACATCTTTTTACTTGACTAGCCATAAGTGTATTTCCTGCTAGAAAAACACTTGTTGATTTATGTTCTGCTTTAAATTTCGAGAATAAAACTTTCCACGGAGGCCGTCCAACATTTGTTGACGTTTCCAATCCGGTATGTATATCATACTGTTGCATATCTGCATAGATATTAGCAACAAGATCATAGGGAAGAGCTTCTAATGTTGCTTTTTTATTCGGTTGTAATAATGTACGATATAGATGCATATCTAGATATCTTGATGTTGGTTCTGTAGAATTATTTCTTGTAGCAGTCATAATATTTAAATAATTTTCCTGTGCATTTCCGATTTCTTCAAGAATATCACGATAACTTGAGAAACTTTCAATTTCACGATCAATCCAAAAAAGTCTACTTTCTTAGGTTGTTGCTTTGATGTTTATGTATAATAATAACTGTAAGCATTACAACTAACACACACACATCGGTGATTTTGTACACGTTGAGTTAAACTATCCAAAGCACTTATAGAAGGTGTTACTCCTATACCAACACCTATTAAAACTATATGTTTACTATTAAATACATGTGATGTACAAGTACTAAATGGTCTTTCAATCCAAATGTCAGCATCTGGATCATTCGCTAAAAATGTAATCTCTTTTTAACTAAAATATTTCTTAAATTATCATTGGAATGATTAGTGTGTGGGTGTGAGTACTCTGCTCAATCGACATCCACACCCACACCCTATCTGATCTTTTGAACTTGAATTTTGTATTGGTAAAGATAATCGATTTGCAGTTGATGATATAGATGGAATGTCATTAGTTGCATTAACTTGATGTTCTTTTATTCTTTTTCTAACAATTTGTGCTTCTCTTTTTGTATAAAAAGGCCAATCATAATTAACTTCTCCACTTGTTAAAATACTTTTTAAAAGAAAAAAGTCTCCACTATTTGATTGTCTTGATATTGATGATAATAATGAATCAAATTGTTCTTTTTCATCATCACGCATTCCACCTTCACTTTTTAATCGACAAAGAAGATCTGGTTTTTTATACGTACTTGCAGCTAATAAATGAATAAGTCGTTCTCTTAATGGTCTATCTGAAGGTGATGATTGAGTATTTGTTGTTGGACTAAGACGTTTTTCTTGATTTGTTACAATTCGTTGTTCAATAAGACCACAACTCTCAAGTTGATCTCGATTAACTTGTTTGATACATTGAAATATTTCGGATGTTTCATCTTCTGGTAATATTTGAAATGAATAGATTTTTTCTTCATTATTATTTATTGGTATTGAAATTTCTCCTCCACTACGATTAAATTTAATATTGGATAAATTTTGTTTTTTATTTTGTTGAATATATGTCTCAATTGCTTCCATACATGAACTAGTTAATTTAATAAATATATGGAGTTTTCCATCATGATTTGATGTAGCATCTGCATTTAATCGAAATCTATTATTTCCAGGAAGATTTCTATCCATTCTTGGTAAATTTGTAATAAGCAGCTTTTCTCGATCGTCCACAGAGCACAACATCTGCTTTATCTTTACACGTGTCATTCTTTCTTATCTGTCTATTAACATGATATATGCAAAAATAAGGTAGATGTTGAAAAAAGTTTCTTATTACAACTTATCAAGAGATGCAAAACAGTCCTGATTATACTCGTTTTTTAAGTGAAGCTGCTGCACGTAGACAACCTAGTGCTATTCGAGAAGCTACTCAATTATTTGCACGATCACCACCTACAACTATTAGTTTTGCTGCAGGAAATCCTAATGTATCTTTATTTCCATTTAAAGAAGCAACTATAACTTTAAAAGATGATACAACAATTCAACTTGATTCTTCTGATATGTCTAAAGCATTACAATATTTACCGACGCCTGGACAAGCAGATTTATTAGAATGGTTAAGAAAATTACAAATTCGTTATCATTCTCCTATTGATTTTAAACGGTATGAACTATGTGTAACAAATGGTTCTATGGAAGGATTAAGCAAAGTTTTTGAACTTGTTCTTAATACTACAGAATCAATCTTAGTCGATTCACCCTGTTATTCAGGATCGTTAGATTTTTTACGTGGATTTGGAGCTAATATTATTAGTATAAATACAGATTCTAATGGAATGAGTGCTGAATATTTACATAATATTCTTTCAAATTGGTCTGATTTAAATACTTTACCTCGAGTTCTTTATACAATTCCAAATGGTTCTAATCCTACTGGAGCATCAATGAGTCTCGAACGAAAAAAAGATATTTATAATATTGCTCAAAAATATAATCTATTAATTATTGAAGATGATCCATATTTTTTTCTTCAATTCGAAAAACTAGTGCCATCATTTTTATCAATGGATACAGATGGTCGTGTTATTCGACTTGATTCTATGTCGAAAGTATTATCAGGTGGAATGCGTCTCGGGTTTTTTACTGCACCAATTCCATTATGGCAAAAATTAGTTTATCATCAACAAGTAACTAGTTTGCATGCAAGTTCTCTTTCACAAATGGTAGCTTTGAAATTATTCGAAAAATGGGGTTTATCTGGATTTCATCAGCATACAGAACAAATTTCGAAATTTTATGAAAATCAAAAAAATTTAATGGTTAATGCTATTAAAAAACATTTAAACGATATGGTAACATTTAATGAACCAACAGCAGGAATGTTTATATGGATGAAAATAAACGGTATTGATGATACAAGAAAATTAATCTATGAGAAAGCACTTGAACAAGAAGTATTACTTTTACCGGGAAGTGCATTCTTTTCTGATCAATCAAAAACTTATCCATATGTTCGAGTTTCTTATTCAGTTTGTACACCGGAACAAATTGAAACAGGTATGGCTCGTTTTGGTAAAGTTCTCCGTGAAGAACTACATAAATAGATTGACAAAACAATCAAATATTATATAAAATTCTTTTCACAATAAACACACTCATATAATAAAATAAAAAACTCTATTTAGTTTCTTTTAAAGAAAATTTTGTAACTAAATTGAAACAAAGGCAAATGCATCTAAATAGGCTTCTGCTGGATTGTTTGCTATTATTTTTCCATTATTATTTAAATCAAATGTAACAATATTTTGATTGTTCAAACCCTCAACAATCATTGTAAAATAATACCCTTCATAACAATTTCCAGTCGATGCTAGATAATCATCAAAATCAGGAGATAAAATGTCCAAAGTGCCATTATAAGGATTTAAACGTACTAAACGACAAGCACGTTTACCTTCAACTTCTTGCATACCATAATAAGCATTCGTTTTATTATCATAACATAAATATTCTGGCAATTGCGCATTTGTTATTTCACTGATTATTTTTCGTTGTACGACATCGATACCAACAAGATAATCATCAGCGCCATACACGACTTGTACAAAATATTGATGAGCGGTTGAATTAAAAAAGAAGGCCATGGAATCAGGTTGTAGACCATTGGCTTTAGTTATATTTACCCATCGTTTAGTGTTAAAACTACTTGGATCGATTTGAACAATACCTACAGGAAGACTTTCAACTAAATCTTCCATTTGTATTGAATATAGTTTTCCTGTACTACTATCAACACGTAAACCAAAGATTTCACCACCAGATTCTACAGTAATATCTCGATACTTTGTTGTACCAGTCAATGGATTCACTATGATCACTGACGGCGATGATCCTGTACTACCAAAAATGTAAAATATTTTATGAATGAAATCATAAGTAACATCGTATGCTTTATAATCTGTCAATGGTACGAAAACAGTAAAATTTGCAGTTAATGGATCAATTTTATACAAAGCTTTTGTGGTTGATGTTGGATCATATGATACTGCTAACAAATAACCACTGGGAGTTGTTTGAATGCATTGAATAGCATTGAAAAGAATGTAAAAATAGAAAAATAAAACTCGAAAAGAAATATTCATTCTTTATTGTGATGCTAAGTTTGTTATACTGACGAAGTAATATCGAAGCATGATAACACGTTGCTTTTTTTAAAAGAAAGATAGTGTTGTATTTACTAAATGACACTAGTAAAATGAGATTTTTATTTCTGTCACTCTATTAAAATACTTCAATATGTCATTCTTCCGAATTAATGCTTAAAATAATAATAGTGGAAAATATAACTATATAGTTCCTTATAATAATTCAAAAAAGTATTCTATTGGCTTATTTCATTTAACCAATAAGAAATGACTTGTCATGATTCATTAAATTTATCGCTATTTATATATATATCCATGTGTATTTAAAAAAATTCTTCCTATTTTTGATGTCTGACACTGTTCGACGTCTACCGTGGGGTGCTGAAAGGCACATACGTTCATCATTTACAGTTGAGCCATCATCATCTCTTGATTCAACAATAAAACCAGGAGAATATACACTTCATTTACTTTTAAATCAATTTTTTATTGCTGCTGAAGCACGTATTATTGATGTATGTTCTGAAAATAAACAGGTAAATTTATCAATTATTTATTTATATATTCTAAATCAAATAATTTCATAGCATATACCACTTAATCAATGTTTAAAACGTGGTGATGATGTTCATTTTGATCAATTACTTGATGTATTCCAAGCGATATCTGAAAATTCACTTCCGTCCCTTGTTCGTATATCATTTGAATGGTTTCGTTTTCATATTAACGAAGATCAATTAAAACTACGTGGAACTAAATCAACATCCACAACAACATCTGGAATTAGAGAAAATGAATTTCTTGAAGAACGTCGACAAGTAAATGAGATAAAATTATTTAATTGATAAATCTAAATAGTCTTTATTATATTTTAGCTTACTGTACATTTTATATTCTGTCTGATTTTAATTGATATTCTTAAACAAGTAAAAAAATAATTATTTAGATAAATAAGAAAAATTTTATTTGAATATTGTTAGCTTTCTTTTCATCCCGGATTTGATGTATCGAATATTGAAGATCAAGCTTTTAAATGGTTTCGAGGCAACGAAAAATTTAATGACATGTAAAAGAAATAAATCTCAAAAGTATTTTTTACGATTATACTATTCCATTTTTAGAACATCGACACAACCAAATCAAATCAATTATCAAACAATCTGTGATCTTTATGCTGAAGTTGTAGGTGTATTAGCTCAAAGCCGGTATATAACTACAATTGATTCTTAAATTTCTTATTCAATTTTCTTTTAAAATAGTTTCATATCTGTTAAACGACGTTTCATGCTTGAATTAAATAATCTACGAAAAGAACCAGCTAGTCCATCGGTTAATGCAAATATTATAAGTTTAAATACTGGCATGAGATTTTTTCGTGTTAAAGTAAAATCGAGTTTTTATTCGAAATAAATATTTTTTTCTTCAAATTTAGATGACACCAGTAGAAGATTTTGAAGCTTGTTTTCAATTTCTTCTTGATTTAGCAAATTATTTTCTTGAAGTACGTGAACGTGATATTAAAAATTCATTAGCAAATTTATTTGTTGAAATTCTTCTACCAGTAGCAGCGGTATGTTCGTCTATGAATCATTTTGTTTTTCTTTCAATTCTATTTTAGGTAGTTAAACTTGAAATGAATATTCCAATTGTTCGAAATTTTGTTGATCTATTATATTCTCATGTATTTGATTTATGCTCAAAAAATAAACATCGATTGGTATGATATTCATTTTTGTGTCTTTTGTTTTTTGTTAAAATAAATATTTAGGCTATGTTTCCTCTTATGACGTGTTTATTATGTATTAGTCAACGGCAAGTATTTTTTACACATTGGAATAAATTTATGTTACTTTGTCTGGGAAATTTACGTGGTGAAGCAAAATTAGCTCGTATATCGTTAGAATCATTATATCGATTGATATGGTAAGAAAAGGAAATCATCATCATTCAAATAAATCCTCTACTTTTTTTTTCAAGGGTTTATATGGTTCGATTTAAAGGTGAAAATGTTAAGACAACAAATCAACATTTAACATGTATTGTCAATAGTTTATTTCCAAAAAGTTTCAAAGCATTAACACCAAAAGATATTCCATTGAATATTTTTGTAAAAATTATTCATTTTATATCTCAAGAAAAATTAGATTTTGCAATGAAAGATATTATATTTGATTTACTTAGTGTTGGTCGATGTAGAAATATAATGCCTGAAGTAAATTTTAATTCAATGATAAAAATACTATTTTATTCTTTCTTATTCTTTATTTTAGCGAATGAATGTTGGTTTACGAGCATTTTTAGTAATAGTCGATAGTTTAGCACAAAATGAAGATGAACCAATGATGCCTCTTCATAATGGTATTGAAAAACATTTGATTTTAATTTATTTTATTGAATATATATTTAGTGACTTTTCCATCGGGTCATACACTACGTCCGCGTCGTACATGTACAAAAATGATTAGTGATTCAATAGTAAAAGAAATTGGTTTACAAAGTTATTATGAACCCATACGAAAAACATTTGATACAATTCTTAAAATGCTTGATACACAAGTTGGACGATGTTTATTAGTGACACGACCAGATAATGCAAATAAAGATACAGAAGATTTGTTAAGTGGTGATCGTAAACCAAAAATTGATCTTTTACGAACATGTATTGCAGCATTACCACGTCTTTTACCATTGGGTACACCACAAGAAGAATTAATTGAAATGCTTGCAAGATTAACTATTCATATGGATCATGAATTAGCAGTACAAGCATTTCAATCTCTTCAATATTTTGTTATTGAATTACCTGAATGGCGAAAAAGTGTTTTTCGTGGTTTTACAAATTTTATTATTCGGGAAGTTACTGATCAATTGATGTTTTTATCTGATACGGGGAAAACAACACTTGATCATTCAATGCGTTTTTTATTACAATTATTACAACAATGGAAACATGTTCTTATTAATTCAACGAGTAAAGCAAATAATCGATTGAATATATCAGAACAAACTGATATGGAAACATTAGCAATGGCTGAAGGTTTCGGAATCATTGCACTTTGTCAAACACATCATATTCGACGAAAATATGGTGTTATGATATTACGTGAAGTTAAAAATATTGCAGTTGCATCAAAATGTTTACAAGTAAATCAATTTATGAATTAGATTTTCATCGCCTATTTTTCTTATTTAGCCAAATCAAATCTGTTTAATTGATATATTAGATGCAGCTGTACCAACTGTTATCAAAAAATTAACACCTTCATTAACTCTTCAAGAAAAAGTCTAGTTTTTAATTAAAATAAATATTCAATAACTTCATTTTTTTCTTAAATAGGCAAATCTTTTATGTAATTCAACGGGTGATTTATCATGGCTTGTGGATCGTTCATCAATGTGGGATACACAAGAAGAAATGAAAACTATTCCAACAGGTTCAGATGTTAATGTAACAACAAATGTTGCTCAATCAACAACATCACTTTCAGCATTAAATCCTAATGCATCAACAGTTTCACCATTAATAAATACATCATCAACATCCGTAACACCAACACCATCATTAGCAATTATTCCACAAACACAACAAACTCAACAAACACAATCACCATTATCAATGTCATTACCAAATTCATTAATTCAATCATCAAATAATCTACTTTTAACATCTCAAATAATGGCAGCAACAAATTCAAATGCATCTACAACTACATTAGCATCAACAACAACACAAAATGCATCTAATAATAATAATCTATCAACTTCATTAACATCTAATGAATTAAATGCAAGATTTGATATGTGGACAGAATGTCTTGCTGAATTATTTGTTTATAAAAATATTCTTCAATGTCCATTAACACGTATTGAAGCATGGAGAATGGTCTTTTTTCGTTTAACACAATTATTTCCTTATGTTGATCCAAAGTAAATTAAAAAACGAAATCTATATATGCAAATAATTTCATTTTAATGATTTTCTTTAGTAATCAAACAACAGAAATTCGTTCATCATTTGTTTTTCGAACCAATGATATAATGAAAAAAGCAAATGAAAGAGAATATAATTTAAATTTATGGAAAAATTATTTAGTTTGTGCTTGTTGTTTAACTCTTTCCGGTACTGAAAAATCACAACAATTCAATGTTGATACAAGTCTTTATCAAGAAACACATCAAGATTCGTCGAAATTTTATACACCTGCATCGAATACTGCTGTATCACTATTTCGAATTGTTGTTAATGTAATTTCCTATATTCATAAAATCATGATAATATTCAAGGTTATTTTTAGTTACTTCGATGTGAAACAAGTGATATACGAGAAATAGTTATTCGTGGATTAGGTCGAACAAATCCTGAAGCATTCAAGTCTGTTTAAGAAAAAACATGAAGTTTATTTTTTTTATGTTTTTCTTTTAATTCTAGAGATCTACTCGAAGATTTAACAGTTCATATAAAAGATGCTATGGAAGTTAAACAAGAAAAAGTTCGTCGAATGAAAAAACGTGATTGTATGCGTCTTCGTTTAATTCGTATATTTGAATTATTAGCTGATCGAGAAGTTTTTCGATATTGGTAACATAATTTTTCTAATTAATCTCTATATCGAAATTCTTTTATAGTTATTCAAATGAAACTGAAATCAAACGTTCATCTTATCAAGTGTATCATGAATATCTTCAAGGTGGTCTTACTTATCTTGATCTTGAAAATGAAAAAGATTCAGATTTAATTCAACAAATTCGTCAATATTTCGCCCGATTTGTCTATAAATTTATTAATCAAATTCCTCGTATGAAAATCTTTCTATATTTAACTATTATTTGTTTATCGAATAATATATTTTAGATGTTATACGTGAAACATTAATTCCAGCACATATTCGTTATAGTCTATTTGAATTATTTCGAAAATGGAGTGGGAATTTAAACATAATGACGGTTTTTGCATCAACTAAGTAAATTACATAGAAAAATTAAATTTTTTATTTCGATAATCTTTTAGTAACGCACGAGAACAACAATTAAAATCTGAACCATGTAGTGAACTAGAATTAATTGCTATTCGAGCATGTGCAGCAACACTTTGTTGTGGAACAATAAAAGATGAATGGTTTCAAAAGACTGTTGCACCGTGGCTTGATCAATTTATGGCTGCACATGAGGTAATATTTTAAACTTTAAGAATTTCTTTTTTCATCATATTTTTCTATCTATATATCAAGATATATCCATCATTTGTTGTAAGTTATTATATTGAATATGCTCAAATTCGGAAGAAAACGAGAAATTTTTATATAAAGCTTATTTCTTCTTCTTTTTTTTCGTATCAGACGTTTGAGATTTTTATTCGATGATAGAGTTTGATGTTTGGACATAAACAGAACGTTGCATGTAAAGACTTTTTGACAGAATATGTAAAATAGGAACTAGAATAACTTAAATAATAATTTATAAACTAACATGAATCTCATCGAATATAAATTTCAATTTTGGTGTTGGCAAATATTTACTTGCTAAAGCTCTTTAAATCTTCTAAAGACATTATTCATTAGAAATTATTTTTTTCCTTTAGACAAGTCAATTATCTGTCACAACTCTTTATCAATTACTTGAATTACATGGCAAAACAACAAATACAATGGTTGTTGAATGGGTTATTGATCGATGTTATACAAAATCAGTTCGTTTTAGTGATCGATGCTTTACGGCTCTTGCAAAAATATTTATTGAAGTCGCTAAGTAAGAATTTTAATACAAAATAAAATATCATTTCTTTTTTTTTAAATATTAAAGTGATTATCCATGTGATTTACCATCGGTTTTAACATTAACATTAACTAATGTTGGATCACCTCGAATGCATGTTCATGAATTAGCATTAAGATTAATGGTTGTCTTATGTAAAGGACATTTAAGTGAATCTCAACCAACAACAAGTCAACAATCAAATGGAATTTCATCATCCGATGATGTTGCGTATATTATATCACTTGCGTCAAATTATTCTAAAAGTCAAATGATGTTAAGTGAATATTTAGCAAGACGTCGACCAGATTTAACTATGGCAATGTTTTCTGGTAAAAATCCTTTCTTTCTTTTTTTGTTTATTTGATTTTTGTTTTGTCAAAATAGAAATTACAACAAGAATTTTAACAGCAAATTCATGTTCACGAGGAACTTTATTTATGATATTATTACCATGGATACATAATATTGAATTAACTGATCCATCATTACCGAAAAATATGCATGGACATGATATTGCATTAAATGAAGAACAAGGAAATGCATTCTTACAAGGACTTGGTTGGGGTTCTGTACAATCAACTGAACTTATACTTAATAATCTTTTTTATCTAACCGCCACCGTATGTTTATTCTTTAAAATAAATATATTTTTTCTTAAAAAAGAGAATTTTTTAGTTCGCTTCTGAACATGCTCCTGAACTTGAATTATTATGGAATGCATTAACAGGAACTTGGTCACATAATTTAAAAGTCATCTTACGTTATATGTTAATAATGATAACATTATCTCCATGTGAATTATTACCCTATGCAAAAAAAATTATTCTCTATATGTGTAAAAATCATGAAGAACGTTTATTAAATGAATTATTAAATGAATTACAAATAACTGAATCATTAAATATTTCACTTGAACGAACAGATACATTACCATTTTTTCGTTTTAATAATTCATCATCAATATTTTCAATGAATAATAATAATAATAGTAACAATAATAATAATAATAATAGCCTAACACAATTATCAGAAATAAATAATACATTACGAAAATCAACACATTCACAAGAACATAAAGGTATTATACATACAAAACGTCATCATAGTGGTGAAGATAATTTACAACAAGAACATGTTTCATATTTAAATACAATTAAAAATCGAACATCATCACAAAATAGTTTATCAACAAATTTTAATGAGAAATTAAATGTAGCAGATATGGATAAAGATCATTCAATTATGTTACGTGTTGATGAATATCCACAAGCAGCTCCATTACCATTAGCACCTTATGGTGGTACAGCAGCTCCATTAAAAACTCTTCTACCAGATTTATCTATTCCAATTCCATGTTTATTTCGATGTAGTATTGCTATCATGCTTATCAATGAACTTATTGTTAGTGGTCTTCAAATTGATTGGTCAGCTCATTTACCACAATTGTTACATGTTGCGATGCTTGGCATGGATCATAATCGAGCCATTGTTTATGAACATTGTAAAAGTCTTGTATTTAATTTATTACTTGCTTTAAGTGTTCAATCTGAACAAATATGGTTAAGTGAATTACTTCTTTCACATGTTGATTGGGATAATAGTAAATTATCAACGAAAATTCGTCAAGAACGTGATACAAATGGTATACATATCAATTCTCAATCATTATTTACTGATAGTCTTAATGATAATTCAATTTCTTCTAATAATGATATTTTATTACCGGAAACAAATTCATCAACATCTTTATCACGTGAAGAAGTTGTTCAACGTTTAATAATATATTTAAATACAAAAAAAGGTTGTCCATTATGGGCCTATGAAGATATAACAGCTCAAGTACATACAATTCGTAGTGCTTTACAATTAACACAATTTGTTCAATGGATTGTAAGTTTATTTCGTATATGTGTACCACAAGCGATGCTTGAAGAACGATGGATGGAATTAGCATTACGAATTACATTGAGTTGTTCAAGTCGACATTATGCTGGACGATCATTACAAATAATTCGTGCATTAAGTTTACCATTAAATTTTCGTTGGGTTATCGATATATTATCTCGATTAGTTGAAACAGTTGCTGAACATAATGATGATATGCAAGGATATGTCACTGAATTATTATTAACATTAACTCATAATATTGATTCAATACATAAACAAATCAATGGTTTACTTTCAACATCTATTCTGCCATTATCACCATCGAAAGATTTGTCAACAAATTCTCATATGGTCAATCCTTCCATATTAACAAATAAAATTGAATCATTACAAAATCATATATTATTACCAAGTGATCGACGACAACAAACTCGAACATTTCATCGTCAATCACGTGATCAATTAGCTATTATTGTTACAAATCCTGGTATGGCAACTGCACCAGCAAGTCCAAGAAATAATAATAATAATAATACAATAACATCAACATTAACTGATTGTATATCAACAACAACAATATGTCCAAGTATATCAACAAATAATGGATTTTTACTTCAACCAAATGAACAACAAAATATTTTACGTTTTAGTCCAGATTCAAATCGTAGTTGTTCATCAACAACATCAACATTAACACGTTCACATAGCGCACAAAATGTTCGTCAACAGCATGTATTTTTTCCAAATAATTCATTAAATAATACAATTTCATCGAATACAAATGATGTTCAAACATTAGCGGCATCAATTGATGATGCTAAAACTGTTTTAGCACAATTATTTTGGATTGGTATATGTTTACTTGAATCCGATTATGAATATGAATTTACATTATCAATACAATTAATAACAACAATTATTAATAAAATACAATTAGATACAAGCGATTATATTGATCGTATTATGAATATACTTAAAGCAATTAAATGGCAACAATTTCCCGGTGTACAATCATTAATTTTTAAAGGTTGTACATCAACAATAACATTTGAATCAACAATGATTTTGATTAGTTGTTTAACAAATATATTAACATTACCATTTATATCAACAAATAAATCATCATTAGCAATGAATGTTATTGCATTATTACCTTATATGATGTCGAATTATGATAATCAACATGTTATTTGTATTCAAGCAGCTGAAAGTATCGTAAGAGTATGTAATGAACATGAAGATAGTACGAAATTAACAAATTTAGCTACTGTAATGTCATTATATGCACAAGGAAAATTTGGTTCAACAGCATCACAATGGGCAAAATGTGTTTTAAAATATTTAACTGATGTTTATGCACAAGATTCAATAAATTGGATTCGATTTCTATGTGAAATACTTGATAATGGACCAAATTATTTACAAATATCTATATTAGATATATTTTATCATCTTGTTACATTAATTGATACAAAATCATTAAATGATTATGCTTCATTTAATAATGAACTTGTTCGAACATTATGTAAATATGTTAATAAAACTGAATATTGTAATGAAGTAACAAAAACATTAAAATTATTAATACAACGTTCATCAACATTATCAACACCAAAACATATTACAACGAATAGTCATTATAATAATGCACCACTTACTTCATTAATGGGAGAAGTTCACTTTTTTGATACACATAAAAGTAGTATTGAATTACCAGGTCGAACATTGGATATTGAATATAATTTATCTCATATAATGAATGCTATTAAAAGTAAAGATCAACAAAATCATAGTGCTTTGAAATTTTTACCAACAGCAACAACAATGAATAGTCGTCGACGACATACATGTCTTGGAACAACAATTGCGACATCTGATTTAGATATGACTAGTTGGAAACATAATGCAGCTCAATCACAGGTTCGAAAAATTGGGTTTTATCTCTCTCTATATATATGATTTCAATTTTTAGATAAAAACTCGTGAACGTTTAACAGCATTAATGTTTGCATGTGGTAAACAAGCTGGTTTATCAAGATTACCATTAAATCGAAGTGCAAGTGTAAGTTAGAAATAAATTTATCTGAATTTATTTTTCTATTTGTCTATTTAAATAGGTTGTCTTTAGTCAAACAAGTGATTTAGCAGAACAACCACCAATGGGTAGTTTACCAAGTTCAAGTAAAGAATCGATGACATCAGAAAATGTTGATCAAACATTTATATCAAAACAATTCGATTTCTTAAATGATGAGGTTTATTAATAGAGAGAAAAAGAATCTAATCAAATTTTTTATAACTTTTCTTTAATTTAAGGATTCAATTCATGAAATGTTTCCAATTACAACAGATACACAAGATTTTGGTGATGAAGATGATGGACCAATGCCATACGATGATCCTCCAATACCTGCTGATCATGAAGTATAAAATTAATTTTTTTCTTTCGAAAACTTTATTTGTAAAAAAAAACAAGGAATACTGTTTCTTTTTATTCGGATGATTTCATTTAATAATCACCATTATTCCCTTTAGCCACGACGTAATAGTGTCAGCAATACACTTCGAAATTTATCATCCGTTGGAGAATGGTTTGATACAAACCGCTTAAAATCCAAAATACGTGGAAAATTACCATCATTTAATAGTTCGAGTGGAAGCAGAATATCTGGCCGCAAGGTTATTTTGCCTAGTCTTGTATTTGATATTCTTATCCTTTTCTTTTCTCTTCTGCTTTACCTATACTTATAATAACTTGTATTGCACAACAATGAAAAAAATCTTTTTTCCCTACATTATTTTGTTTTGCCTTTCCAGCAATAACCTAATGCTTTATAGACAAGCTTTTTTTTGTATAACATAAATAATCAATTGGTATATAATTTAAATAAGTTATAATTCTTCTTTATTCTAGCAAAGTGCAAGTGAATTTACTCATACGACTGATGTAGTTGTTGATGCATCAAGACATATGCATGAATTTACATCAGCTATGGATGCTTCAACAACAACAAATATGATTTCAACAACAGGAAGAGAAAGAACAGGAGCTTCTATTAATTCGTAAGTAATTTATTTGAATTATTTTTAATCGATTGATTTACTCAAAATAAATTATGCATGTATTGATGAATGTAAACAAATTATTCTAGTTTACACTGCTCATACATGGTAGATAGATTAGAACCACCGCCTAAACAAAAAAGGAGAGCACCAAGCAAATCTTGGACATGGTCGCGGTATGTTCTTATCTATGCAAAAGATCTACGCTTTGCACATCGTGTATTTATAGTTGATCTATACGCTTTCTTCTTTATATATTTACGAAAAAAAAACGATTTCTTTGAAATAAATCTTAATTTATTTTATTTGAATTTTTTCAGTGAAGACATGCCTGATCTATCGATTTCACATAATCATCATCCAACTGGACTTTTGCATGTTGTTACAATGAATAATGAATATATTGAAGATGCTTGGCAAACACATGCAAGAAATTTAATTGATGAAATTAATCCATCGGATAGTGTTAAAACATTTTTATTATTTCGACGTTTATTTAAGGAAATTCGTCGAAGATTATCTATATTTGTACATGAAACATGTCATTGTCTTTCAATGGATAATCGTTTTCGACAAATGGTTACTCAACTTGGTTTGTATTTATTCGATTTATATTATCTGTAGAAAAAAAATATATTATTTTTAGTACATATGCTTAATGTTTTAATGGAAAGTCTTGATTGTACATTAGTTTTTGTTGATGAAAATATTATGAATATAACACAATTATTAATCAAACATCGTTTAATTATTACTGAATTAAATGAAATTTATGCGAATTATAAATCAAAAAAAGCTTTAGCAATTGATTGTTTAGATTCAATTAAAGCTAATCTTAAATTACAATCGTTAGGCGAACGAGGTTATGATACATTTGTTTCCAATGAGCAAAAAATTCACATGTGTAAACATCTCTATAGTAAGTCATACCACGCAATCTCGAAGAAAGATACCGATTGACCGTTTAATTATCTCTCTTATCCAGAATCTATTTTTAGCTGTTCTTGCAGCTGCAAAACATTTGTCATCTAACTTTTCCTGTTTTAATTATCTCGAAAAATCTTTTTCAGCTGTGAAAATAATAGATGATGAGTTCGTTTTGTTCTTTTAATTTAGACCTATTTTTTCAAGTGATAATGCTAGCAGAAAGTTATTCAAAATTAGTTAGTAATTTATTATCATTTGCACGTGATCCATTAATGAATATAAGAAATTTATCATCGGAATTTACTATTGCATTTAATGGTTTGAATGATTTTTTAAATGATATTCGTTCGGGTAAAGAAGATCAACCAACAATTGAAACAAATAATTTACCAAATCGTGATACAGCTATTGCCTACATATTTCAATGTCTACAAAAAAATACATATTCAAATGCAATTAAATATCTTCGATCAGCAAGGTAAAAATAAGAAAGATTCTTTTATTAATATTGTTTTTTTTTGTATTAAAGATCACTTTGGCCAGATGATTTTGGTGATGAAAATAATGAGATTGATGTTGCACTTACCATACTTTATGAATCATTGAAAAAGACTCTTACAACAGCGAGTATGTTTGATAAAAACAAAATATTTATTAGAATTAATATTTATAAAACTTTTTTAGATTTACTTGTTGTTTTACAACAAACACCACCAATTGCAGATGTTTGTCATCGATTATATGAACTTAATTTAAAAATTCTGTCATCAACACCTGATTCTCTCTAAAAACAACAGCTTAGAAATAAATAGTGTATAATCGGTGATAAAATAACTATGCTTTTTCTTATTTTTCGAATGTCATTCGTCTTTGTATGTGTTGTTTTTTTTTAAATAAAATAAAAAATATATTTCAACAAATGTGTTATATTAAGTCAATAATTAATCATATATCAAATTATATTGAAATAAAATCAATACGTATGTGTAAAGGTAACTGTTATTTTATTTTTCTTGTTCTTCGCAATTCCATCAATACGTTTGTAAAGACTTCTGTTTTTTTACTTATTCGTCACTAAGCAGTGGCTCAAAACATCGATTCTGTTCTGTTTTTTTCTCCTGTTTGTTTTTTTTTCGTGACAAATAGAAGGTCGAATAATAAATGACAGACCAAGTACAAGTAGAAGATTTCGATTCCATCGAACGAAATACACCTGCTGAATTATCTGCTAAAGAACTTCACAATAAACGATTTCAACCACGAGCAAATTATCAGAATACAAGTAAAACTCCGAAACGATTACAAACATCAAAACCGCCGAAAAATTCTGTTAAAATAAAACCAATTAAAACTCCTGTTCATTTTAAATGGGCATTATTTTTAACAATATTTTGTTTTTTTCTTGTTGGACCATGTTGGGCATTGTATAAAACAATTCAATTACGTCGAATGATTCAACGACAAGAAAACGATGCAGCTGATCGTTTATCACATAAAATAACAACTGTACTTGTTGTTTCAACTATATTAGGAATATTCGCATGGGTAGCAATTTTATTTTGTACAGTTGGTTTATTACTTACTGGAGAATTATTAGCAACAGAAGCTATCTAAAAACTAATCTCAATCAAAGTAACTATTTATTGACTTCCGTTCTTGTCTTTATTATTTTTTTGTCTATTTTTCTTTCATTTTCAAAACTCGGAACTTATGGGAAAATATACATTGATTGTTATTTCCGACATATAAAAATTATTGACAAAATTTTCTAAAATCAACAAAATATAAATTAGTTCTATTTAAAATGAAAATAACAAAAAGAAAAAGAGAAAAAAATAAAAATAAATTTATCTTTTGTAATGTAAGTGCATAAAATAATAATTCAATCTATTTTTAAAACAACTAATAAATATTAGTTATTAAAATAGTAAGGAAAGTACTTTTTCTTTTATAATGTTGAATTTAAAAAAAGCGGCCATTATAAAACAATGTATTTATATGCATTCAGTAAAAATAAATTTATTTTTGAGAGTTTTATCAAGTTGAAAATCATTATCTATTACGACATTCTTTTTATCTACTCATTATGTAAGTTAATACAATTTTTTTCTGATGACGACAGCATAGTTGTGGGCTAAACTGGTAATTATCGTTGATGATAATATGTTTGAAATCATCAGAGATTTGGATTGTGTGCAAAAATCTACAAATAAGATAGTTTTTTGCTTGAATAATAGCTATGTCAACATCAACTAATTCTATTGGAAACAACGTCATTTGACAGACGACAAAGATGTATGTCAGGGAAAGTCAAGAGAAAAGAGAAATAATGACATATAGGTAGGAGGTAATGATAAAAAGTCATACGTTAGAGACAGATCTTCATTTTCTAATCTTAAAGTTGTGTCAAACATTTGACAGTTAACGGAAATAAACGGTTGCACTCAACGTTCTCCAAAAAATTTTACTAGGTACGTAATAGTTAAAATATATTTAAATAGCAAGAAATCTCTTATTCGCTTGAGGTTCTTCGAACTAATTACAGGTATATTAAATTTTTGCTGACGTACATGAATTTCGTAGTTGAATTCTGTCCTACAGACATTTCATATACTTATTATTTATTTAGTCTTTTATTAAGCATAAAAAGAGTAAAATCTTTATAAATGTCAGCTTGATATAGGATCGTTATAGATAAATTTTAATCTTTGGACTAAGTTAAAAAATAGAAGACACAAGGAACTACAGTAGACTAAAGTCGGAAGTATAACAGTATCATGTTCAATTTATTTTTATATGGTGAAAAGGTTTTTTTTATTAGAAGTCATCCATCTTATAACAAAATATATAGAGGAAATTAAAAGTGAGTATGGTTGATGAATATGTTGACAAGTGAATCTAGTGGAAGAAAAAGACGGAAAAGTGAGAGAGACATGATTTACTTACGGCTCAATAAAAAACAAAAAAAACATGAAAAGAGAGGAAATAAGAAGACTTTAAAATATGAGCAGAGAGAGAAAGATCAATATATCATTCATCACGGTGAAGGTGAATGCATTTAATTTGAATCAAACATATGTCATTCTTTCTTTTTCTTGAGAGTGTCTCTGCATTTTGTTCCCGAATAGTAACTAAAACCATTGCGCCTCGTTATAATTTTAATGAAACATGATATATATGAATTAAGTATTAATCACTAGTATTGATATTATATTAATTATTTATCAGCTAGTATCTTTGATCCAGTTCGATAATTAGAAAAAGAGCTTACAAATTCGAATTGTTTAGTATCAAAAACAGGTGGGCGTATATGATCGACTGTTTTCTTTCATAGTTTTATCTGTGAATATATATAGATAGATTTATGTTGTCCCAGACAGAAAGAATTACTTATAATAAGCTTTATTTCTATTGGAATTCAAGCGAAAAGACGATCATTTTATTTCTATATATATATATATTATTACTAATTGCGTATATGAGTTAATTAGAATATATTGATCGGTAGCAGTGAGTAAAAATGTAACTAAGAGAACACTTTTTTAACTCTAATAAAAATGATTATTCATTTCAGTAAACACCTTCACCTATATATTCTTTTCTTATTAAATATGCATATTGTCAAAGAAAAAAGTCGTTTCATCAATAGACCTTTTACTTCTATACGTCATCGTTCTCATTAATAAGGAAAAGGAGTGCGCTTTAATGTTGACCTAAACGTATATGCCATTATAGAAAAGATCCTATGAATAATTCAATATTTAAATTGTCTTTGATTTTCTATATTTTTGTGCGTCATCATTGGTATATTAAGTCATATATATATATATAACCTATTTATGTCATCCATGTTAATAATAAAATATCATCTGAATCAATTTTGTTCCACAATTCTATATATTACTTTTTTGCTTTTCTTTTTTTTTGTGCGTTGTGCGTGAATGTATGTTTCTTCTCCTCTAGAAAAATTAATCAGTCAATCAATAATCAATCGTTCCATTTCTATGCGTCTCATCATTTTTTTTGTTTCTTTCTATACTGGAATTGAATGACAAATATAGTTAATCATAATGAATATGCACAATATTAAATTCTTTCCCTTTAGCTTAATGTCTACTCAAGGTAATACCTACTAAACCCTATGGAATTAACACTCCATACTGTCTGAGTTACTTGTCTTTCTACTAGTTGAGTTATCTTGCTTCTCATATGCATGATTTGATTATACTCCTTGTCCGATTTTATTGTATGATATTAAATCTACTGTGTCGAATGGATTTATTCGTAGATTATACATATAAATAGATGAATATTTTACATAGTGTATATAGTTCCATACTATTAACTATTTAGAAGAGCGTAATTTAATTGTTTATATATGAATTCTGATGTATAGCTACTAGTAGGTTTTTGTGTGGGCGGAGAAAAAGGAGAGAATGATATATTTGTTCTTGTTGACTCCTACTTCGTCTCTTAGCTCTTAAAACTACATTATATATATATATATATATATATAAATACTAGGAGACTACTATCTATAAAGAATATTATGTGTGAGTGTTATAGAATGAGGAGGAGTAGTTTTAATTGAAATGTGCAAAGTAAATCTAGATTTTTCGAATAATATATGACATGAGATGTCATTAGAATTAGTATCATATGACAACATTTATTAGCAACACTGATTTCTTTTCCTATCATTGTCATGATTGCGTGTTTTTTGTCTATTTGTCACCTTGTTATATTATAAGATTTTTTTGTTCAATCATAGAATTCTTCACGCAATTTCAGTCAGTATATATTCATGAATGAAATGTAGAAACGAACGATTCATTGAGACAAGACTAGTTGTTTGCCTTGCTCTTTACTTGTTTCATGTGATTTGAATAGAAGACAGTATAGACAAAAAGAATCGCAATTAATGTCACATACAAACGTCAAACGAACAGTCTCATGCTGATTCTCATACACCCTCTCACACATACATACATATATATATATATATATTCTTGTTTGATACCTCTCGAGAATTTTAAAAATGTAATAGAAAATGAGATGAATGTATATGTGACAATAACAAGTACGACTACTAACTTATCAGCTATCAGAATAACTATGTGTCGCATTTCCTATTTTTGTAAGAGCTTATTGTAACAAAATTCATTGATCTTCATATCATGTTTTTTTTTCTTACTTTTTTTTCATCATCAATACAAAGAATAAAAGATAGAAATGAGATGAGAGTGCCATTATCTAAAGTATATTTGCTCAGAATTTTCTTTTTCACTTCTCTAACTTTTTCCAAAACTATTCTCTTATTTAATATGTTTATATTGTACTTGTGAAGTTTTTCAATTATATGTCAATAATTGAGTTTAATATTGAGTAGTTTTGGAGCATAATAGAAATAATTTAATAAGAGTATACTGGTATGTTGCATTTTATAAACTAGTGTAAAATGAATGAATTATTGTTTCAAAGATTTATAAAAATTAAATATATATATATGTAATATATTTTACAGATTCTATTTATTTCAGAACATCATACAAATTGCTAATTATCCTCAATCTTTACAAAATGTTATTTGATATTCTGGCCGTGTTCGTTGTTACACTTATTTCATCATTGTTTTTATGTACGACATCCATACATGGTCTCCCGACATCACCTTCAACTCATCATTATATCCATAATCACCCATCTTCTTCACTCAGGCTTTTACATCAACATCCAGTACCGAGTGTCGATTATGATTTAGGTGGTGATACATCTGAAATGTTGTTTGGTGAAAGCAATGAATTATCAACAACTAACCATCATGCCAATGATTTATCATCATCATCCTTGACCTCTTCTAGTGATGCATCCAATGTGCCATTTGATTTTTATCTTAATCAATTACCAGCTAAATTATTAAATAGAAAATTATTATTATCATTACAAAAACATAATCAACAGAAAGAAGGAAAAGAACAACAACAACAAAAACGAGCCAGTTCGCCATCAATCACTGCATCATCTCCATTACCGGCAGAATTCAATCTTAATTCAGCTGTTGCTGCAGCTGCATTTGCTGATCCATCTGATCCAGATAGCGTTGTCAATCTTAGTCAATTGAGTGAATCAACACGTTTGTCACCTTCACTCAAGGATTTGGTTGAAAAAAATCCATTTGCGCGTGCTTGGCTTACTATGCTTTTACAAAAAGTTATGGAAGAACAACCTACACCGTACATATTCAAGTATGGTCGACGTCGCAAGTAGTTCAACAAAATAAATATATACATATATACATATATATATATTATCAATAAAAAGTACATCGCCGAATCACGAGCCAATAAGTCATTTTTGCATCATTATTATCATCATCATTTTGACAGCGCACCAAAAAAAAATAAATTTTTGTAATATCATCATCATCATCATCAGAGCCACAGTTGTGTTTGAATGTGGTCTAGACCCAGAATAAAATTCCTTTACCTAAGATAAATTTTCTTAATTTCATATGAAATTCTTTCATTTAAATAAGAGTTACATTTTATTGACTGATTAATTAAACTAAATATGATTATTCATTGCATTTTATTGAAATTAATTATTTATAATATGTCATTAGTTATTAAAATGAAAACAATAGACTTGTAATCGAGAATACTTCATTTTTTCTCATTAGATTCACTAAAATACAATCGATATGGATGTTTTATCATTGAATATAATTAAAATGTTTATTTAGAAAGTCAACCAAACGAACTTCTCCTATATCTATGACGTCAATAAAATAGAAGATATTTGAGAAGCTTCAAGTTAATTGCATCAACGTATCATTGATAAAAATATTTTATGACGTTGAATTCTTCTATGTAAATGAAAATTATATGATGTCATTATATATACTTTTTTTTAGAAACATGATAAATTTACACAATATTATTAAAAAATGATAGTTTTAAGGCGTAGTTATATAATTAAAGTATTAGAGATATCATGTATGTTACTTCCTGTTTTGTATTTCCTATTAGAAATATAATAACTAAGTATTATAAGTAATCAGCTGTTGGTCTTTTAATAAACTATTATTTGGATTTGTTTTTCTACGTCATTGTTAAGAAATTAAATTGATTATTTGAATGAACATATTATACTACATTTTCTTTAAGACAAATTTAATAACCATATTCAAAATTTATAAAGTTATTTTAATATGTATTAAATACTAATCTATCACCGATGGATTATATACAAAATCGATTTTAGTATTCATTCTTTTCGATTATGTATTCCTAAATAAAATGATATACTTCTCATACAACATATTTTTCTTTCTTCGAAGAAAAGATTTTTATGAACAAATAATATTATACATATTCTTGCAAATCTGAACTAAATCTTTGTTTTTTCTTAAAGTATCATGGCTTTCTTTATATAATATTTTTACAGTTTATTATAATGCTTAATTTACTCTAAAAACGAAATGAAAATAATTGCAGGCCTTCAAAATTATGTACAGACTTATCTTTCATATTAGTGACCTTTTAATAACAAAAGAACATGGAAATACGATAAGAAAAGCTTAACGATTTTGTATGAAATTATATAAAATAAAAACGATGTGAAATAATAATTAACTACTGATTTACTATTTATTCTCTTGCATTTGTTACATAACAGAAAGAATAATTTATTTTATTGATAAAATAAGCTTCTTCTCTCCTTCTATGTTTGTGTTGAGTATCTTTCTTTCTTATCTAACACAACGAAACTCTACTTGTTCAGACATAATAATTTAATCATGAGGGCCTTTTATAGAATACATATCTTTTCAATATATATTATTTACTTTATCGGTGAGTGTTACTGCTCATACTGTGGTCTCAACAAGAACAAAATTTCAATAGAGACACATTTTCTTCTTCATCAGTCTTAATTTACTTTCAAAAAAATAATACAGAAAGAAATTATAATTTCTTTTTCATGTCTTCGAGATTCTTTCTGTACATTTTAAGATTGGGATGATTTATTGGTAGTGATTTTTGCCCGATTTGTACAGCAAGTTCATAAAAGGAATGAGCTTCTGAATAGTTGCCCATATTCTCGTTCACCAAACCGATGTTGTTATATGAAGCAACCAAATCAGGATGATTGGAGGGAATTAGTAGTTGTTGAATTCTAAGATCTTTTTCATAATAAGAAAGTGCTTTTGGATAATTACCCATACTATCATACACCAAGCCGATGTTGTTATAGGACGTTGCCAAACTAGGATGATTGTAAGGAAGTGATTGTTGTTTGATTTCAAGAGCTTTTTCATGAGATACAAGTGCTTCGGGATAATCACCCATGTTGTAATACACCAAACCAATGTTGTTATAGGACTTGGCAAAATGAGGATGATTGGAAGGAAATGATTGTTGTTGAATTGTAAGGGCTTTTTCATAACATGAAATTGCTTTTGGATAATCACTGATGCTGTAATACACCAAACCAATGTTGTTATAGGCAGTAGCTAAATCAGGATGATTGGGAAGAAATGATTGTTGTTCGATTTCAAGGGCTTTTTCATAATAAGAAAGTGCTTTTAAATAATCACCCATGATGTAATACACCAAACCGATGTTGTTGTAGGAAGTAGCCAAATCAGAATGATTGGGAGGAAGTGATTGTTGTTTGATTTCAAGGGCTTTTTCATGAGATAAAAGTGCTTTTGGATAATCACCCATGTTGTAATACATCAAACCAATGTTGTTATACGACTTAGCCAAATTAGGATGATTGGAAGGAAGTGATTGTTGTCGAATTGCAAGATCTTTCTCATTATAAGAAAGTGCTTTTAAATAATCACCTATGCTGTAATACACCAAACCGATGCCCATGTAGGAAAAAGCCAAATCTGGATGACTAGAAGGAAGTGATTGTTGTTGAATTGCAAGGGCTTTTTCATGAGATGAAAGTGCTTGTGGATAATTACCCATGATGTAATGTACACTACCAATGTTGTTATAGGAAGCACCCAAACCGGGATGATTGGAAAGAAGTGATTGTTCTTGAATTGCAACGGCTTTTTCATAATAAGAAAGTGCTTTTGGATAATCACCCATGCTGTCATATACCATACCGATTCTGTCATAAGAATCTCCCAAATCAGGATGATTGGAACGAAGTAATTCTTGTCGAATTGTAAGAGCTTTTTCGTGAGATGACAGTGCCTCTTGATATTCTCCTTGATTATATTTAATCCAACCTAGTTGATAATAAAGCGGTGCTTTGTCACTCTCATCTGTTGTTTGATTAAGTAAATCGTAATAAATTTCTTGAGCCTTCGTAAATTGACCCATTTTAATTAGTAATTGACCTAGTCTGTACCATCCTTCTTCATCTGGAAAGGTCTCCTGCCGAATCTGGTCGCTAAGAATCCGAAGGTCTTGATCGTTGTCATTGGTTAATGTTAAATTTACTTGATAAAGATGAGTATTTCCATCCATTGGCTTAGTATCTCCAATACGAAAAACGGTATGCATAGAAAAGAGAACTTCATCTTCTGTATGAAAATAACTAATATCACTAACAGAAGCAAATGGAGTTGTTGAATCAGTCGGATTAATTGACATAACAAATAAAATTCCAACAAGATCAGGATTTGTAGCAACTTGTGGTGCGAAACAGAGAGAAACATCACGATTTGTACTAGTCGATAAAAAGTTATTAAATGAGAGAAGTCCACCTTTAGTTTTTGTCATTTCGGTAAAATGTTCTTTTGAAAGACATTGCCCACGATAAACTGTAAATGTTTTATCAGATTGTTGACCATGAAATTGTTCCGAGTGGAGTCGGTGAATATCGCGATGTAGATCATTAATAAAGAAGCCCATTCGAACAATAATATCAACATCCATCAATCGTAATGCTTGATTAAGCATCGAATATAAAAAATATTGATAAGTATACCACCAAATCGGTGTTTGATCATGGTAGTCACGTTCCAATTTTTCAATATTATGTAAGTCATAGTCTTTTTCGACAGATACATCACGACAATAAGTAATAAATTCTTCAAAATGTCTGTCTTTGAAGTCAATGGTTAACAGGATCTCTTTGAAGATCTGAGTATACATGAATGATGGATCTAATTGATCCAAATTTTTGTTTGGTGCCACAAAACTAATCGAAATGGCATTTTGCTCATATTGATGAGCAGTTTGTTTAAGAGCTTTACAGATTGATTTCATATCTGTGAAGACTCCTTTTATTTTAGGCCATTCTTTGGTCCATTGTTTATCAAATTCTTGATTATTACATAAAATAAAAATGGTATCCATTTGAGACATATCATGCATACGAGGCACTATATGTTGTCCAAGTGAACCAGAAACAACGATGCATACTTTGTTGTTGGTAATGGTTTGAATAAAGTTAACACACTGATCGGCATCTGTAAACGTGCTTATGTTATTTGCTACACATTTCAATTGCTTGATTATATTATTACAATCAGCATTATTATCATTAATATTGTTGTCCAACCAAATCAAGGGAATGTTTTGCATTCTTTGTATAACCATACGCCGATTTACAGGTGCACCCTTGGAAAAGTTTGATACATGTTTAGCATTAGCTTGTGTATTGGTTTCAACAGATGTTAGCAATTTGTTGTGCAGCATTGTTTCTTGTAACATAAACTACTTCAAGAAGAAATGTTTATAAATAAATGAGAATAATGTGTTATTTTACAATACAAGCATTTTCTTTTGAGATTGTTGTTTTTATCACTATTTACATTGTTTCCTTTGTTATCAGTATTTCACCTGGTTCTTTTTTGTTTGTTAAATATACGTTACAAAATACTACAAGTATCATCAGAGATATTTATCAGTTATCGACATATGAAAAAGATGTTATAGTATGATCATTGTTCATAATTCAAAAAGTAATCTGTAAGAAAAGTCCTTAAAATACATGTCGTTACAGAAAATCTCTAAAGGGAACTTTCTTCAATCATTATTACAGTATGATGGAAGTTTACAATTATTTTTATCTCGAGACAAATGACTACTGAATAATATGATAAAAAAATCAGAACAATAATAAAGATTTTCTGTTGGAATAATGAGCAAAAAGATTAAAACCATTTGTATAAAACTGAAAAAGAAAAATTTAATTATTATATTTGTTGTCGATTATTCTTTTTTTTATCTTCTTTTCATTTTCATGAGTCAAAGACTACGCGTATGCATGTTCTATGACTAACATAATGTTATCAGAAATATGCACATTCAGGTAAATCAAAAAAGTCCAATATTGATATACCTTTAAAATGAATAAAATTCATGAAAAAATCTTCCTTTACGTTTTATTTATTTCTGTACTAATAAAATTTTCCAAATAAATAAATTAACTTTAATGCAATCACCTAATTGACCATTCTTATCTACTTGCCACTGGATAATGATCAGGTGTTAACTTCTGTAAAGCTTTACATCTTCTTAATTATGTTATAATCTTCTGTGATAGGCATTCACATGTTTATTATTCTATATTGTATTTCCTCTTTGAATATTTTAAGAAAAATAAATATTTGGTTCACAAAATGTAATACAATATTTTTATTAAATAAAATCAAACAACATAAAGACAAAATGAGGCGCATCGTCCAGTCGAAGAAGCTGAACTTGACATATCATCTTGAGGG